AATTGGTGAGAATTTTTTTAGAATTTTTGATGAATTTTTTTTGAAAATTTCTGAAAATTTTCTAGATTTCGGTTGAATTTTTCAGCGAAGTTTGAATTTTTCGGTCAATTTCCCAGTTTTTGATGACTATTTCTAAAAATCAATCAATTTTTCGGTGAACTTCCAACGAAAAACCCAGATTCTGACGAAAATTTTTAGAAATCGACGAGATTCAACCGGAGTTCTTCGTGATTTAGAGAGAAGAGAGAGGAAAGAAAGGGAAGAGAGAGAGAAAGGAAGGCTTAGTCTGTTGAAAAACAGAGGAATTAGCCTTTTATACCAAGTGAAAACGACGTCGTTTTGACGTTACTATGCCAGAGGATCCGCGCGTTTTAAAGTCGGGCGACCCAACCTGAGCGCCAACCCGCTTTCGACCCGCGTGCGATCCGTATCTCCGAGTCGTTTCTCGAGCTGAGTCAAGCCGCTAAGCCGAGCCGTTCCCAAGTTTTTTTTTTCATTTATTTATTTATTATTATTATTGTTGTTGTTGTTTAACATTTTATTATTTTTATTTTTATTTTATTTTTCTTTATTTTTAATTTTATTTTCATTTTTATTTTTTATTTTATTATTTTATTTTCTTTAAATAAAATTCAAAAAATATATATTTTTGAGGAAAAGTTGAAAGTATCAAATTTCCTTGAAGATAAGCTTTCTAAAAAATATTTTTGAGAAAAAGTTGAAAGTATCAATTTTCCTTAAAAATAAGTTTTCAAAAATGGATTTTTGAGGAAAAGTTAAAGGTATCAATTTTTCTCGAAATTAAAGTTTCTAAAAAATATTTTGGAAAAAAGTTAAAAATATCAATTTTTTCTGCACAAAAGCAATAATTTTTTTCTCTTTATTTTCTTGAATTTTTTTAATGTTAAATAATCCGACGATGGAGCCTCTGTAAGTGAAACAATAGTTTTCTTGCATACTCTTGAGGTGAGAGAATTTTCTCAATTTTCTGCTAAAAGTATTAGAGTCAATTGAGAATAATTTCTAATAATTAATTATTTGGTAAATTTTTAAGGCTTATTAGATAACACAAAATTAAGCTGGTACCATCTTTCGATGGATGTTGTGAGGGTGCTATAACTTTCCTCACACGTAACTGAACTCTCGAATCCTGTTCTGGTTATTAGACCCAAACCTATTCTTTTAGGGACCCTTAAACTTAGGTGTTCTCTGAAATAATAGATTCCTTAGGTGACCAGTCGCACCTAGATAAAAAAGATTGGTGGCGACTCCTTGAGGTCAATGCCTAGCAATAGATCCCTGAATCTAGACGTTATGACAAACGTGTTATATTGATACGGTTCATAAAAGGTTAAGGGTATATTTAACATGATACAATTTGTAATTTTCTTTGGTTGTTTCATGCTAAGCATAATATTATTTTTTGTGATAAGTTGGGCCAAGTATAGTTTATTAATACTTTTTTAGAATTTTAATTATTTTTTAAAAAGATTATCATTTATTATTATTAAAAATAAGATATAGGAGTTTATTAATACAAAATAAAATAAAAAAAGACACATAATTTACGTGATTTAATAAGATATCTATATTCACGAAAATTGATAATAAAATTCACTAAATAAAAATATTAAAATTACAATTCTAATATTTAAAGTGAAAAACATGTACATATAATCTATTTTATATCTAGTAATACACATATAACTAAAGTTTTGCTGATGGATCTAATATCATAAATAAATAAAATTTTAAAGAAAATTTTAATAAATTAGATATTAAAATTTTTTTATAAGAAAACTAACTTTCTTAACCCGTACAATATACAAGATTTTTTATTAAATTTTTCATAATTTTAAATTTATTTTTTAATTATTTATCTAATATATAATTATATATTTATAAATGCTAAGTTATAATTTAATGATAATTTATACATAATATATTATAAATGATATTGTTCATCTAAAAGAAGTCTAAACTTTTTAAAATTTTCAAGAATTATAAAAATCTTTTTTTTTCATTAAAAATATTTTCTTCAATTTATTTGTTAAATTCTAAAAATTTTGCTACCACTTTTTTCTTGTTTGATAAAAAATCAAGAATCAATATTTAAATAGTTAAAATTAATAATTATTTTTATCATAGGTGGTGTGTATATATATATATATATATATTTGATTAAACAATAAATCGTAATTATTAATTTTGTTATAATCATTTGCTTTTTATTAGTTCTTATTTTTAACATACTTCGAATAATTATTATACAAGTATATTGGATTAACAATTATTTCTATATATGTCAACAAAATAAAATTATTTTTTAAATAAAAGGGAAATAATAATTCTTTATGTTATGCTTAAAAACTTTTTTTAAATATTTTTTATTTTTAATCATTTTTAACATAATTAATAGTATTTTTTGTGAGTTAAAAATGATGGTGATCATTATTCTTCTCGTATTATCCATTGTAGACAAAGAAATTCAACAATAAAAAGTATAGTAAAAGGAACTAGAGAATATAAATTTACATGTTAATTTATCAAAATTAAATATATACAATAATAAAAGCAAATATGTTAATAAATTAACGAAAAATAAAAACATAGAAGAAATGAATAAAACAAAAAAATAGATATAATACAAAAAGTTAATTATAATCAATCTAAGCAAAATTAAAAAAAGTTATGAACTAAAGCGAATCAAATAAATTAACCAAATATATAATATAAAAATATTTGAATTAGAACATAAATAAAACATTATATTTATTTTTCAAAGCAAAAAAATATTTTTATCTAACTTTTTTTATCAATATTCAAATATCTCATAGTTTCATATAAAAATGTAAGCTTTTGTTGCTTTAAAAATACTTGTTTCTAGTCAATAATTTATTAACTTATCTAAAAGTATTAAATTTAAATAATCTATTAAATAATTTTTAATTTTTGATGTATTTTGATTTGAATTTAAATAATTGTCTAAAAACATTAAATTTAAATAATTTATTAAATAGAATTATTTGACAAAAAATAAAATTTTATTAAGTATATATATATTTGAAACTATCATTAAATTTAAAAATAAAAGATAAATTATTATTTATTATATTTGAATTCAAATCTTATACAAAAATTTCAATCCTAGATAGATTTTGATTTCAATTTAAATAATTATCCATAATATTTAATTTAAATAATTTATTAAAAAATTTATTTGATAAAATTTTAATATAATTATTATCCTATATGTCATTAAAAAAATTATTCACCTAGGTATCCATATAAGCATTTTAATCATGTAACCTTGTATGTTATAATAATAATATATATATATATATATATATATATTAGATTTTTAAAAGCATCCAATCTATCAATATTTCTTGAAATTGTTTTATAATTAGGTAGTATATTATTTCTAATTAAATAATTAAAACGTTCATCATTTACAAAAATAATGGTTACTCAAATTGCATTATAAATTTAGTTAATTAATTACTCTAATTATTTTATGAAAAATAAAATGCAACTAAAAACTTATTAGGATACTAAGTGTAATTTGTGTGGGATCGATAGAAGCAGCAGAAACATCTTCATTGTTTCCTTATGCCTTTTCATATAACTAGTCCCTTATTTTATTTTACAACTAAAATCTTTTTTATATATATTTTATAAATTTGAAAATTTTGAGTATATAACTTTGAAAAGAATGTTAATTTATTTTTATACACATAAATTTAAATAAATAAAAATAATTTATACATCAATCGGTTTAAAAATTAATTAGATATAATTTATCTATTAGTAATTTAAATATTTAATAAGTAAATTTATTTAATATAATTTTATTTTATAAATTACCAAAAAATAAATATAATTTCATTAGACTATAAAAAAATAACATAAATACACTCAAATGCCAAAAGCTTATTTATAACAGTTATGATTAACATGACACAATATATTTAAACTTATATATCATATTATGTTAACTTATATGACACATGCTGACACTGACCCTTAATGAATCGTGTCGTGTCAATTTATAAGCTTAAAAACTTTTAACTTGACACGGCATATACATATACACATATATAATATTGTATTTCGGTTATTTAATAGCAGATCATATCAAATATAGTCCATATCGTGTCAAATTATATCATATCATGGGTCATCCAATTCATTTGACACCGCTAGGTGCAAGCTTCTTTTTTGATCCGCTTTTGCCAGCCTTGTTCAGGCAGCTTGATCCTGTGCAGTAAATTTGGAACAGATTATCAGCTGCAAGATCTGCTCATAAATGACATTAGATTACTAGTTGCCAAGCTTCATTTCTTCGCATGACCTAAAGAATTCCCTTCCCCTCCCCCTCCCTTTCTCTGTTTTGGCACAAGGAACCTATTTTATGGACGCAGGCCATACAGTTTTTGCTTGCAAGATGGCAAAAAACAAGAGAACCCAGACAATAACAGCAAAAACAATGCAGATCAAGCAATAGATACAACAGGAACAAAACAAAAACTAATATACTAAATAGTAATTACAAATGCAGACAATGCAGGTTAGACAAAGAGAAAAAGTCTTGAATCCATTTTAGACCCAAAAAATACAGATTTATAACACTAGTTGTTACTAGGATGAATTTCCCCAATATTTCTCAGGTCATTTGAGCTATCTTTCAGCACAGAAATCAAACATCGAATAACAGTAGTAAGCGTTTATGTGATAAATTGTCAGTGTAGGGTGCAACATAATGGGATGTCAAAGAATCTAGAGTTCAACTCAGATTGTACAGCCACTCTTAAGATGTAAAATTTATGGAGTTCGAAATTCAATATCTGTAATCTCTTAAAAAAAAATAATTTGAGACGTTATGGAAAAAAAATGCCAAATTTTTTGGACATCTAAAAAATTATTAATGGCCGGTTTGATGTGAAAAACCCATCCGGTGGCCAACACAATGCAATTAACCTCGATTTCCGCTTTAAATTTTGTCACAAGTGTGCATGCACTCGATATAAATAATCTCCTTAGTACATGTTTGAGGTCACAACTGCAATCGATTGCAACCAAGATTTGAAGAGAAAAAAAGTCAAGAATTCCATTTATAATGGCAGAGAAGGAAGGAGGCATTGTCAAGAAAGGCCATGACGAGGGAATGAAAATGGCTAATGCTCTTCTCGAAGAGTTTGGTCTTCCATCGGGACTTCTCCCTCTTGCAAATGTGATTGAAGTTGGTTTCGTAAGGAATACTGGCTACATGTGGATTGCGCAAAAGAAGAAAGTTGAACATAACTTTAAGATGATCAGCAAACTGGTCAGCTATGACACTGAAATTACTGGTTTTGTTGACAAGAAGCGGATCAAGAAGCTCAAGGGAGTTAAGGCTAAGGAACTCATATTGTGGCCTCCAGTGAATGAGATTGTCGTGGATGACCCACCCACGGGAAAAATTCACTTCAAGAGCCTCGCTGGTGTCACAAAGACTTTTCCTGTTGATGCATTTGCTGCTGGTCAGTAAAATGCACCGTCTTGTTCATGGGGAGCCACCAGATTCCAGTGATTGTTTTCAGTTCACACTCCACCTAGCCTACACCGTAATAGCTATGCCTTTTGCTGCTCTATGTTTTACTTCTATGCAATTCTCTTGATAAGAATTGGTGCATACCCATGCCAATAATCAACAAGGAACAATAAAACTCCAAATCCAATTTCAACTTCTATTCTTTGATTCTCAGAAAGTTAATTGTCATAACCAAAATCAAATCAACTATCCATTCACTGATCAAAATTTATCAAGCAACAGTATGTTCACATATAGCACTCATCTAACCGGTTTTTATGCAATTGAAAAGCAGGATTAACCCAAGCCCCACAATTGCATTGCATACCAGCCCAATTGAACGAACCCAATCGAGCTTTGCAGCCGTTGCACTGAAGTTTCTCTTCCACATACCCTTCTTGAACTGGTTGCATCCACTTCAAGGGCTCCACGAATATGGAGGAACATTGGGTCGGTTCCTTCTCCCCACCATTATTACCACTTCTCTTTCTCCATTTAAAACATTGTTCGCCTTTTCCACGTTCGTGAGGAACAATGCTTTCCTCTGAAGCAACGATTCTTCTGCATCTTTTACAGCGGTAGATGAGTTGAGGCTTTGAAACAGCTTCCGAATTAGAGTTATTGGTCGCTTCCATCTGTTCCATCAGTTCCATCAACGGGAGATTTAACAGATTTTAACATAAAATTAACCAAACAATTGATAAACGCAACGTTAATCCTGATACATCTATGATTCAGAATTATTAAAAAGATATAATTAATAAAGCAAAATATTTTTTAAAATATCAGAATCTAGGGTTTTATTCATTCTATTAAAATTTGTTTACAATGCTGCTGAAAAAAAAATCTGAGACGGAGAAGTAAAAGACTTACCTCGGAAGAGGATTTTCAACTGATCGATCGCTTTGAATAATCTGAAAAGAGATGATTTTCTGTTTCGATTTGCTCCCAGCGTTTTGGTTCAAGCGTGATGAGAACCGTGTATATATATATAGTGGTTTCTGCAAGGAGTCATTTTAAAACGGCGACGTTTGGAGACGTCTGTTGTAAGGATTCGTGTACTTGTTGGGCTACTTGAATTTGAGTTAACTAGATTTTTAGTGATTTGGGTTCTAAGTTTGAATTAAATTTTATGTTTTTTTTTTTTTTATGAAATAGAAGTTTTATGTATTTAAAAAAGATTAAAATATTAAAAAATCACTGATTTATTTTACTTTCTTAGATAAATTCATATATTTTTATTGTATTTAAATAAATTATTATATTTTAATTTGTACACAAATAAACCCTTATTTCAAATGAAAAAATGATTTATGTTAGGACTTATTTAAGTATAAATTTAAATTTAAATATTTATTTAGATAAAAATTAAAGGTTAAAGGTTTATTTGGGTATAAATTAAATATTAAGGATTTGTTTGAATATAATAAAAATATAAATGCTTATCTAAATAAAATTATAAAATTTAAAAGCTTTTTTTATTATTTTAGCCAACCTATTCAAATTAAATATTTTATAGGCTTTTACATAGAAGATTTTAAAATTTAATCATTTATTTTACAAAAAAAATTAGGTAAAATTATTACTCTATTCTAAAATTAGGGCATGATATGGACTTGAATGAATACTTACATTGAATCTACAAATTATTCACCAAGACGACGAATTGCTGATAATATAAATTAAATTTATATTTTAAAAACGAAGTAAGCGATTCCTACCAACTCAATTAACCTTATTAATATCATTTTCTTTTTATTGGTATTAAACATTGTTATCTCAAATGGATTAAATTAAGTTTTCTCTCATCTTATATTTAACTCATCTAGAATCTCAACTCGAATTGCTAAGTCTCATTATAACTATTACTATACTTATAAATAATAGATGCTCATATAATTTTTTTATAATTAAATAATTACATGATTATAATAAAAAAAATTACAAGTGAAACCTTACCATTTAGATTTTCACCAGGATTAGTTTATTCAGAAGTAGTACTTCAAAAAAAAAATTAAGGCCTATCATGCATGTCTGGTTCTTCTAACTAATAACTTCAAGATTTATGAAATGGAGTATTTGACTCGTGCATGTGTTCCCTGCTCAAATAGCAAAGTTTGAACCCTTTCAACAATTAAAAAAAAAAAAAAAACCACTTTTCATTGAAAATAAACAGGAATAATATTTGAGGGAATTTTGAGAAAGGGCATCCATGAATCATGGATAATTCCCAATGATCAAAAGCTGCAGCTTAAAAAACCCAAACAAAAAGGCTATTGCGAAATAGCAAAAGCTAGGTAACTAGGTTAGTGATGCCCAATCAAATATGGTTGCTTAAGTTTTTCATGATAAAGAGTCACATTTCATCCCAAGCAGCCCAACCTTTTTGGGGTGGAGAATGCTTAATGTAAGGTTGCTTTCCAAGATTGATTGTGATATATATTCTGTGATGCGAAAGGAATCTGACTTGTACGTCTAGTATTTCAAAGATGGTTTTTATGTGGATGCTCCGACCTGATCAGTTGGTTTTCTTAGATATGCTGAGAGATGGAAATCTTGAATTCCAACAAATACTAACACGAACGGACTCTTTGATTCAAGCCATAATAATAGTCAAATTGAATGGAACCATTTTCTACCTTTTTTTTTTTTTAATTTCTTTTCATTTGCTAGACACTTAGATTCATATTTAATTTATAAAATATTATTTATTTTAATTTAAAAATTTTATGATCTTATCTTATAAAAAATATTTTATAAATTTAAATTTAAATTTCTATTTAGATATTATTACAAAATTTTAAAATATTTCGATGTAAGATTTAAATATCACAAACTTTTGAAATTAAAATATTAAAATTTTAACCCAACATGAATCACATCACATAGAATTAAAATTATAAATCACATCACATAATCAGATATTGAAATCTAAAGTTGATTTTTATAATATAATACTTGATTTTCATGGGATAACATTTATAGCATTTGATTTTCATGGTGTAACATTTAATCCAATTAGTAATCGATTTAAATCATTTATAGAGATTTATATTTTATTTGTGAAAATTTATATTCAACTTGAAAATTTTTATTTATTTTAATTTGAAAGTCTCGTAATTTTATTTTATAAAAAATATTTTATAAATTTAAATTTAAATTTTTATTTATATATTATAATAAATTCTTAAAATCTTCTATATTGGATAAGGACAAGGACTTGAACCCACATGATGACCGATTTCAAAGTTTCCATTCATAAGATGATGGAAAAAGTAGGCTATTTCCCTCTTCTGATTACTAATCAGACCATGGACCTTGAACCACATCAATAATTTCTAACCACTCATTGCAATTTGCAAATTCCTTAATTTCTGGGTCAGTGGAAGTGTTATCAAACTTACTCTATTTGATGTTCAACTTAACTGTCTTTTGTTCCTTTTGGCTCACAAATCATCAACCGTCTTTTGTAGTGACTTTACAGAAGGAAGTCAGGTTTTGGAATCAAGAGATGCCTTTTTCGGATTTTCAAACAACAGAAGGTTGCAAAAGACCATGAATTGCAACATCAGTTTGTAAATTTTGGCTTTTATATATCTTCTTTTCCTATCAACATAAATTAATGATGAAATCTAAAGTTAAACTAAGTTAGTTTATATAGATATCTTTAAGAGTAACTGCATCTTATAAATTTAATATTTACAATTTTTTTTTTATTCGCGAACATCCAATAACTTTATTTCTCAAGATTATGAGGTTTTACCTAAAATGGTTACATGCAACATGAGCAAGGTACCTGTCATTAATCATCATGATTAAGAAACCAAATGGTCCTGAGTAAAGCCGTCAAGATACCCTTAAATTTGGCCATAATCTAATGTATGTATGTGCCTTGTCAAACACAAAGAATGAAAAGCGAAACAACTGTTGTCTTGTTTCGGTATATGTTGCTTGTTAAACATGATTTCCTCCGTTGTAAACTGTAGTTTATGATTAGAATAGTAGCTCTAATCTTATAATAAATTTGTTCGAGAGTAATTAAATATTATTTAATGAATAAAAAAATTTGTAGGAGAAAAATTTTAAGAAAAAAATGAATTTTTTATAAATAAATTTGTATGCTTATAAGTAGATGAGTTTTTATAGGATTAAGTATGAAAAAAAATAAAAAAATTATAAAATTTTATGGAATAGACATCTCATAGAATTATTAGAGATTTATATTTTATATGTACATATATTTGAATATTTTTGGATAGATTATAAGAGATTGTGAGGGTTCATATAAATATAGTGCATATAAATATATATTTATTTGGGTTAAAAATATTATATAAGATTATAAGAAATTAAAAAATTTATAGATATTAATAATAAGTGAGATTAATTTAATGTATATTTGTAATTTTTTACTACTAATAAATATTTTTTTCATTCGTAAATATAAATTGATTGGATTAAATCATATTAAATTATTAATTTTTGTGTGATTGATAGATAATTAATTTATGCTAACATGAATGCTTAATTAAATTGAGATTTTTTGATCCAACAAATGATATCCAAATTGTTATGACCCCAACAATTTAACCCCTCTGATCTGATGCTTATCCCACCTTACTCTGTGGCTTGTCTTTTTATTTGATATCAACCTTACATTAGAATAAGCACTCTAATGGCTACTAAACTAGGGCAATTATATATCAGCAGATGTCCGCGTAACCATTCACGCCATCATTTAACAAAATCCTATATACATAAAACTTCTCATGAGATTGATTTTGACATTTTCTTTGTAGAGTTTAGTCTTTCAGTTCTCTTCTTTTACTTCCAAATGATGAGGTTTATTGTTGGTCAGAACATATTTCAAGGCATGTAGAGTAGGAGCAGGACCAGCAGGTACAATTGAGGTGGGGTTTATGGGTGATGTGAAAAAGTTGTCTATAAAATCCCCATAGCTCTTTTGAAGTTGGTGTGCCCATTGGAAAAAAAAGATTCACTTCCATGATCCCAAATAATCTTACTTCAATGGCTAAAAATCTATGCCAAAAAATATGCTTGGCCCATCTCCTTGTTTTATCCGTCTGGATTTCCCATGCCCTCTGTCGACCTCTCAACGAGGAACACATGCTGAAGAGGCATGAGGAATGGATGGCTCGGCACAGCCGCGTCTACCCAGACGCAGCTGAGAAGGAGAAACGCTATGCAATATTTAAGGAAAACGTTGAACGTATTGAAGCTTTTAATAATGGTGTGGAAAAAGGATACAAGCTAGGTGTAAATAAGTTTGCTGACTTAACCAATGAGGAATTCCGTTCCCTACGCTCTGGCTACAAACGTCTGTCCTTCAAATTGATGTCGGATTCAAAACCCACAAGTTTCCGCTATGGAAACGTGACCGCTATGCCAACTGTTATGGACTGGAGGAAAAAGGGTGCCGTGACCTCTGTCAAGAATCAAGGCACCTGTGGTGAGTGAGAATTCATGAATTAGAAGCACAGTTTGTGTTTTTTTTTTTTTAATTATTCTTTTTCTTTACACTTCATGGCTGGTTAATACTTCTTGTTGTGTCAAAACATAGGATGTTGTTGGGCGTTTTCAGCTGTGGCGGCTATAGAAGGAATAACACAACTCAAGAAAGGCAAGTTAATTTCTTTGTCTGAGCAGCAGCTTGTGGACTGTGACATCAATGGTGAAGATGAAGGATGCGAAGGTGGCTTCATGAACAGCGCCTTTCAGTTCATCAAAAGCAACCATGGGTTAGCAACAGAAGCCAACTACCCTTACCAGGGATCTGAGGGAACTTGCAAAAAGAAGGAAGCAACTCCTGCAGCAACTATAAATGGCTACGAAGCTGTACCGGTAAACAACGAAAAGGCACTACTGCAAGCTGTGGCCAACCAACCAGTTTCAGTTGGTATTGAAGGTAGTGGATGGGATTTCAGGTTTTACGAGAGCGGGGTCTTCTCTGGGGTGTGTGGCACACACCTTGATCATGCTGTCACGGCAATTGGGTATGGAACCAGTTCTGCTGGGACCAAGTACTGGTTGGTGAAGAATTCATGGGGCACGGACTGGGGTGAGAATGGGTATATGAGGCTCAAGAGGGATGTTACTGCCAAGCAAGGCCTTTGTGGCGTTGCCATGAAAGCTTCTTATCCAATTGCATGAAGAAGAAAATATTATCTCATGAAGTGTAAAACTAATTTACATTTGTGCGTTATGGTAGCTATGCTTCCTGTACTTAAAACAATCTGTGCAAAATTTCAACAATAAAGTGTTTGATCTGCTTACTATCGAAATTCCACTTGATTAACCAGTAAATCTTTTTGCAACTAGGAGGAAGCTGAATGCAGGTTTGCGTTAGCCTGACATCAGCCGAGTCTATAGACAAAAAATCTGAATTAAAAACAAAAATTGACAACTTAAAATCTCAAATACGTTATATACTTATGTAGCTTGGGTAATTACTTGGTAACAATTTTATATAGCATGACACCAAAACAGAGCCTTTCCCTGCTTGATACTGCTAATGGATTTCTTAACGTATTAACAAGAAATCACCCAAAGGCTAAAGAACATGTGAGGATCATTATTGAATCAATCCTTGTCTTTCAAGATATAACATGAAGAATAATAGAGAATTGATCTTGCAGTTGTTGTCATTTTGTCATGTTGTCTTTTAAGCAATCTAACAAACCCTTTCCCCTCTCAGACTTGGGCTAACAACCATTAAATCAATTGTGACCGGTTCTTATTCGAAATGAATGCTGCTCATGGATACTGGTAGAAAGATGCAAAGGAAACAATAGAAATGAGGGAATTTTTTTTTTCTTCTTGATTTCAAGGCATTAGGTAACAAGTACAGAACAATAATATTGGAACTATGCATATTTAGCCTTGTTTCCATATAGTTTCATATAATAAGCTAATAAGAACATACATAAGTTTTTCTGAGGACCGTTAATTTGTCCACAAGAATACTGAAAGGAGGGCCATTATGCTTCGCAGAGCAGCATCATAATATATTGTGTGTTTACCTTCAAGCAGTTGGGTAAGAGGCTTCCATTGCAATACCGCAAAGACCTTCTTGAGCATCAATATCTCTCTGCATTCTAATGTATCCATCCTCACCCCAGCTAGTGCCCCACGAATTTTTCACCAACCAATACTTAGTCCCATCATCAGCTTGTCCATAACCAACTGCTGTAACCCCATGGTCTAGGAAGGTGCCGCATTGGCCAGTGAAGACACCACTTTTGTAGAGCTGGAAGTCAGACTCGCCAGCATCAATGGCAACTGAAACTGGTTGATTGGCCACAGCTTTTAACAGTGCTGACTCACTATTTGAAGGTACGTCTTCAAAACTAGTGATCGTTGCAGCACTGTTGGCTGCTTTTTTCTTGTTGCAGCTTCCATCTACTCCTTCGTAGGGGTAATTGGATTCGGTTGTAAGTCCTTTGTTTGAAATGATAAATTCAAAAGCATTATCCATGAAGCCACCATTGCAGCCTTGGTCTTCTCCGCTGACATCACAATCAACTAACTCTTGCTCTGATAGTGAGATCAATTTACCAGTTTTGAGCTTGGTAATCCCTTCCATGGCTGCCACAGCTGAGAATGCCCAGCAACATCCTACATCATTTAAAAGAAACCATTAGCGATTCGGAATCAGAATTATTTTAATGTCTTTACAAATTCTGTTACTTACCACATTGGCCTTGGTCTTTGATGTTGGTAACAGCTCCTTTGGTTCTCCAATCCATGGTAGATGGAACAGCAGTAACATTTTCATACCTGAAAGAAGATGTTTTCAAAGATGCAATAATGTTGGAAGGTCGCATTTTATAGCCATTCCTCATGGCTTTAAACTCTTCATTGGTCAAGTCTGTAAATTCATTCACACCTAGCTCGTACTTTGTGCTGGTATCAGCATTGTGGGAGTCGATATACTCCACATTTTTCTTGAATATCTGGAAACGCTTCTCCCTCTCGGATGCATCCTGGTAAACTCGACCATAGCTAGACAACCATTGTTCAAACCTTTCAGACATGGATACCTCAGGAACAGAACGGGACGAGGCCTGAGAAGCCCAAAGTCCCAAAACAAAGAGAAAGGCCAAGCACCGACTAGTAGAAGCCATTGTTAGAGACCAGAGTCCACAAGTAAACTTCAAGAAATGTTATAGTGAAGGAATGTGAGACATACCAATCCTAAGATGGCTTATGGTTTATATAGAGAGAGTTTCCTAGGCCACGCTTCGCCCAGATTTGTAACAGACAAATTCCCCAATCCCCATTCTACGTGCCCAGGAAAATATTCTGACAAGGACTCGATCATTTTATTTATATCATGCTTTTTTTATTAGATTCTGTTTCGTTTCAAAATGAAATTGTTTTTTATTATAAAATTTCTGGCAATAAGTTCAATGTTGATTCCAGACATCTTCAGATTGCATGGGTATGTACTCTTGTTCGTATTCAAAAAACAAAAGCAGCCAAACAATTAACTATCAAAGAAAACATCAAGACACAAGCATTTGTATAGATCATACTCTTTTAGCACCTTTTTAGATTCTAAAATCCTAGTATTGCTCAGAAAAAACTAATTGGATATGAATCAAGCAGCTTATGTTGCTTTAGACCTGCGTTCTGACAAGTTCGGCGATATGTAAAAGCTAGAAGTCTTGATGTTTAAATTACGAACAGATTTTAACGTATTCTTTTAGAGTAGTTAATATGAAAAAATAAGGGTCCAACAAATTTAACGTTATCTGATTTCCGCCATCAGAAATTTGCAGCTAACGAATTACTTTCTTCGTCTTGTTTTGATTGTCATTGTACATTGTAATTATAATGTGAAGATTCGAATTCAAATTTATGATATATTATTTATTTTGATATAAAAATTAATAATTTTATTTGATAATCTTACAAATTTAAATTTTTATAATTTTATTCAAGATCTCATAAGTTTGGATTCTTACAGTCTTATTTCATAATTTTATAAATTTAAATTTAAAATTTTATTTATCTATCATATTTAAACCCTTATAAAATATATATAAAATTTAAATCACATTAAATATTAAAATTTTAAAAATAATTCATATTTAATCATAAAAAATATTAAAATTTTAAAAATAATTTTCATCAATTAATAACTGTTTTGATATTATTTATAAAAATTCACATCAAATTTTATTCTAATATTATTTATAAAAATTCATATCAAATTTAAAAATACTATTTATTTTAATTTAAATATCTTATAATTTTATCTTATAAAAAATATTTTATAAATTTAAATTTAATTTATATTCATATATCATAATTTAATTTTAAAATCTTCCTAATCGAGGCATCACAGATAAAGAGAAGAACATGTGGTGCAAGTTAACGTGCAGGATAAGGCTGGCTGATTGTGATTACGTGACATCTCCAACATAACAAGGTACAGCCACCCTGGGACAATCAGTCTAAATCATACAACCTTTTTGCCTGCTACGCCAAGGAGTAGTCTTTTGTCCTGCTTAATTTCTTTAAAATGGTGCGAAATACTTACTTTGGCCATGAAACAAACTCTAATATTTCAAGACAGATAGATGTGACGCCATTAATTTAACTCTGGAACAAATCGTTTCTCACTGATTGATTTGGCTTTCATGACTTACATAATTCTTTATTTTTCCACAATTCACATCAGCATATAGAATGAGGTATAAATTTATATTTTCTAAAAGAGGAACACTGAATATCATATCTTAAAATTATTATGTGAATTTAAATTCAAACCATAGAACGTATAATTCTGTTTTTTTATCTCTAAATTACATGCTTTTTTTGTAAATAAAAAATAAAAAAACACCAATTAGCTTTCTTTTGAAGCTCCCTCCTCTGGAAGGAGGTAATTAAACAACATGTAGCTTCAAAACCTGTCTTAAGGAAGCATCGAAATTTCGTAACATTTCCTTCAAATTTATTAGTAGAATCTAATGCTATCAGCTAAAACAGAAGACAAGAAAGGGCAGTACATCAGCACATACTTCTTTTTATCTATTTTTTAACCATGACCAACAACAGAAACTACCATCCACAGCCACAAGTTTTCCACTACTTGGGACTTTTTTAAGAGATCAGGAAAGTGGAGTAGTGGGGTTAAGATTTTTGCCCTTTATTTTTTATATTCAGCTCCTTTCTGCCACCCTCTATGGATTTTGACCGACTGTATATATTTGAGTAACTTTGGGATAACTTGGATTTAACTGTTTGTTCAGAAAAAATAAATTGCAGTTGACCATTTGTTTCCCTTTGTTTTTTCTTAAGAAGAAAACACTTTTCTAGCCACTAGGCTTTAAGTTAATTTTCTAGCAAAAACCCTGTTATAGTATTACATTACCATTAGTTGCATGATGTAAGAAACTTAAATAAATCAAGCTGCTTCGAAAGTGATAAGTGATAATTAACTGCATTTATCACAATGGTAGAGAAGGCTTGGACATGTATATTATTATTTGATCTTAAGTTCATTCTTTCGTTTGGCACCAATTTAAGAGAAGGAAAAGATTAGTAATTAAAAATTTTGTTACTGAATCAGAAGTTTAATTTGTTTTATATAATTATTTTTTAAAAAATATTTTAAAATTTTAAAATTTAATCCTTAACATCTACAATCTTTTTGCATTATAAAATTATACCTCTTTTGTGAAAAAAAAAGACAAGTTTGAAAGTAAGATTTGAAACCAAGCATTGCTAAAGACTAACAAGCCCTTGCTTTATTCTTTTCTTCACTTAGAAATTTTAAGAGTATTGTGATATTTTAATTTCATATCAAAATATTTTAAAAATTTATTATAACATATAAGTAGAAATTTAAATAAATAATTATGAAATAATTTTTATAAGATAAAATCGTGATATTTTTGAGTTAAAATAAATAATATCTCACAGATCAAGTATAGATTTTTATAAATAATATTAAAATGAGATGAGAGTTAAATGTTATAGTATAAAAATTATTTTTAAAATTTTAAAAAAATTAAGTGTTATATAATAAGAATCGCTTCTAATATCTGAATGTTTGGTATAATTTTGATTATATATGTGTTTTGTTTTAGATTTGATAAAAACATTAAGTTTTAATGAAAGAAATTTATGATATTTTAATTTTACATCAAATTATTTTAAAAATTTATTATGATATATAAATAAAATTTAAATTTTTATGAAATATTTTTTTAAAAAATAAAACTACGAGACTTTTAAATTAAAACGTATAATAGCTCTCCTATTGAAAATGAATTTCCACTGACATCATCAACTAGAAGTTGCTGGGGATCATCTTTTCACTACTTATTGCAAATATTAGGATCAACTTCGGATTTGCTTTAGCCTATACGATTAAAGCAAAAATGGTACAAGCCACTGCTCTTGTGGTAGGTTATCAACAGACAAACTTTATGACAAAAGTCATAGTATAATTTATAAATATTATCTTCAAAATGAATTGAATCTAGACAAACTAACCCGTGTAATTATAAAATATATGAAATCCTGGTTTGCTTTTATGCATAAGATGGTCCCAATAAGGAAATTGGTGACCACTTCAAGAGTTATAAGATACTGTCAAAGCAAGACCTCCATTAGCCTCAAAAAATGAAAGTCTTCCAATAAATTATTAGGAAATTGTGGAAGCAAAGTTTGGCTTGGCTCCTATTATTTTAATTTAATCAATAATAAATAATAATTTGATGGAATCATGATCAGGCACTGATTGGTCCCCTTAAAGCTATATGGTAGCCCACTTCTTTATCCTCTAATTTATTTTGTTGTCTTTTGATGTTACTTAAAGAAGACATTTCCAAGTTGTCAAAGGCCATTAGCCTTACAAAATTGCCAAAAGGGAGTTTGGTTTTCCAAATCAGTGATTATTCCCAATAAAAAAGCTAGTGATTTAGGTCAGTTTGATATCCTTCTTGTTTTACCTTTTTTTATAAGTAAAATTTAGAAAAAGAGACATAAATTTGTGGGTTTACTTTTGCAAAGTCTTACCAAAAATAAATCAAATGGACAGACCTTGAAAAGCTTACCATTTTTGACAATGAATAACAAAGAGAAAAAAATTGGTCATACCTAACTCTATTCAGAATGGATGAAAAATTCTAGAATTCCATATTGATATAACATAAAAATTCATACTTCAAATTATTCTTTTAAACATAGACAATAATATAATAATTATTTTAAAGAAATTTGCATAAAACAAGTTTATATTTTCCACACCAAATATATCGATTAATCTTCCCCAAATCATAATCATTGATTCAACGAATAATTACCATTGATATAAAATTTGTTGCTAAAATTTTTTTTTTACCACATGAGATATGATTTATAATTGGGAGTAAACAAATAAAGCAAAAAATAAAAAATATTATGGTTTTATGTGGTAAGATTTAAAGTGTGATATCTATACAATTGATTTTGAATTTTTAAGCCATTAAGATAATAAATTAAATAGAGCTGATTTAATCATTGACTTTTAACACACTTTTTTAAGTCTGTGTGGTATCCTATTTATATGCATCAATTAGATACTGAATCTCAGTAGGCTTCCACTTTCACAACTCAAACAGATTTTCGCCTTCCTATGTTCTTGAAAGTTGAAACCCAATTCTCTGCTACTTGGATTTGGAACCCCAATTTCCTTTGACTTGTTTGTCCATTTCCTCTCGAATATTCATCGAAATCCCAAAAATCCCATTGAAAACTTTGTTTTTCATTTTTTTTTTTTTTACGTTCAATTCATACGTCTCAAAACTCTCAAAAGAATCACACATATCTCGAAGAAATGCTACAATTCAAGACTATCAAGAAGAAAATGTGGATGTTTTCTTATTAATCTTCATCTGCTAAAACTATCTGCCTAGAATTGTCCTCTTGCGTAATGGAAGCTATCATCATAACAGCCATAGCACCGATCAACAGCAAGGAAAAAGTGGTTAACAAACAAAACTTCCCTCTGCAAAAGCTCTCCTTCTGGTTTTCTCCCACCACACGTCCACCTGGTCTATTCTCTTTCACTTCTGGCTTGTAAAATAACCAACAAAAACAAACGCGCAAGAACCTTTTTTTTTTTTTTTGGGTATGGCTGCTTACTCTTTCAACCGTGACGTTTCACCTGGGAATTGTTATTCTGGTTTCTTTGATCCGTTTTCTCGTGATTTGGGTTCATGCAATGGAAGTTCCCATAGAGGGTCTTTGTCGGAGTCGGTGTCACGGTCCTTGGTTTTGGATGGTGAGAAAGGACAGCTGGTCAAAGCGCCAGTGAAAGTAGGGAAGAAAATTTTGTCGGAAGAGAAAGTTATAGCGGCTTTGAAGAGTCACAGCGAGGCGGAGAGGAGGAGGAGAGAAAGGATCAATGCTCATCTCGATACGCTTCGCACTCTATTGCCCTGCAGAGAAAAGGTTATTCTATTTTCATGTATTTGTACAATTTATGTTAGAATTTGGTTTATCATTGTTATATGACTAACATAAAATTCTGTTCATTTAAATTTCTGAAGCAATTCTTGATCATTGGTAATTGGGAAATTTCATTGGAAGAAGGCTTCTTTGAATTGAACAAGTGCTGGCTTGCATATTATATCCTGTAGATTATTAGTTTTCCTGAAACCGCTTTTCTAACAGTTCATTGATGTTAATAAGTAGTATCAATTAGACTATATGAAGCAAGCCTTTTCTTTTAACTGTTTATTGTCAAGGAAGAGTATGTTTGATTGCTTAGAAAAGTTTGGGAAATAAAAAGAACTTAAAGCTTTCGGTGTTTAAGGCAAACGAAAGAGCAATGAAGAATAGAAAGCATTAAACAACTCAGTCTAAAACGAGACTATCCTCTCCCAAATCCTGAAAATTTGGACTAATTAACTGGTGTACTTGATTCTTTTTCCTCAATTTTTAGAATATCAGTTAACATTTCGAGATTCTAGAGGTTGCTTATGATGAGTTTGATGACACGAATGAGTCTGGCTTTGATGAATGATGAAACGGGATAAACTTGAATCAGATATTCTCATAAATTTATGAGAAGCTTAATTTCAATATGTCTTGTAAAATTTACAGAGTTCTCTATTTAAAATTGGCCTCCTCAAATGTTATACTGCATTTATTTGTGAGAAGAAACGAATGAAGTTGTGAGGTCATCAAACAAGTGTTTAATGTTCTTCTTTGATGCACTATTTTTTTTCACTTGGAAGGTCAGCTCTGAATTTCAGAAATGCTAAAGTCAACTAGGGGATGCATCAATTTTTTAATTTAATTGATACTTTAGAATTTGACAATTATGAGATCAAGGTTTATTTATCATTGAAAACATCTGTATGGTCCCAATTTCAGACCTTCTGTGAATGTATATTTCTGATAAATTGTACATGAGTTGCATCATGCTGGATATTCAGAGTTCTAGATGAGTTTGATTTTGTATTTTCAAACAAAACCAATCATGCAAGCTTGTCTACAGGAGTGATCTGCATTGTTTAAAAAAAGAAGTTTACAGAAAGAAAAGAGGAGGGCAATCTATGTGTTTTTGGATATGCTCAATATTTGACCAAACTCGAGGTAAGTTACAAAGTAAATAAGAAGCGAGACTGATTATCATCGGATCAAACTCGTTTCATCTTGTTTAATTTTCAATCTCAGGAACTTTTCTTGTTAATGGTTAGCAACTCTTTCCTGCTAGCTTCAACTGCTTCTAGTCTGCTCTTCGTGTCAATTAACAATTAATATAACCATAACATAATCTTTTTGACATAACTTTATACAATATTTTAACTGTCAAGGCTTATAGTCAATTCGACACCATATATATTTGAAAGTACAATTAAGATCGATGAAAGTCATTGGATTGGGGGGGCAATGTAACAGCTGTTCTGCTATGGATCCTCATAAGGCCTATTTCTTCAATATATTAACTAATGCATGTGACATAGATAGGTCTGTGTTGGTTAGCATAGTAATGTGATATTACATTATGGTTGGAAATAAGCAAGGATTAGACATCAGGGATTTGTCAATGTTTTTTTTAATAATTAACTAAGTCAAAGGATTCATCTATGTTATTTTCTGGATCAAGGTTTGTATATTCCTTATCTACTAGGTTACTGGTATGATCTGACTTCTGCCATAGCTGATTTATCTGAGTCATAGGGCATATTTTCATAGTTGAGGAATTACCCCGGGTTGTACTATGCTTTAAGACTTATCTTCGTTTTATTGCTGCTTGCTTCAGTGGACAGGTCTATCAGAAGAATATATTGGTAGTTGGAACCAATTATTTGATTGATTCGTTTGCTATTTGCCAGTTTGTATCTTAAAAGTATAGTATTTTATTGTTTATACTTCTACAGAAGTCGTACATGTTTTCGAGCAGATCGTATAATTTTCATGATCTATTTTTAGTCTTGACTTGAACCCTGCTGTTCAATTGCTCATTGTAGATGGATAAAGCCACATTACTTGGTGAAGTAATTAGACAAGTGGAAGAACTGAAAAAGAATGCAACCGAAGCCAGCAAAGGTCTTCTTGTTCCTATAGATGATGATGAGGTGAGAGTTGAACCATGTGATGATGATGAAGCCAATGGGACATTTTCTTTTAAAGCATCAATCTGTTGTGAGTATAGACCTGATCTTCTGACTGACCTACGACAAGCTCTCGATGCCCTTCCAATTAAGATGGTAAAAGCAGAAATATCGACCCTGGGGAGTCGGTTGAAGAATGATTTCGTTTTCACTAGCTGCAGAAGTACTACACATGTTGATGATGCTGAGGCATGGCGATTTCTTGCATGTTCCATTCACCAGGCCCTGAATTCTGTCCTGGAGAAGGCTTCTACCTCACCAGAATACTCACCATGTTCAACATTCCCAACAAATAAGCGAAGGATCTCTTACTTTGATTCCTCAAGCTCATCTTCATAAAAGATTAACCCTCGTTTTGATTTGTGTCATTGGACACACTGAGATATCTCTTTGATGGTCGTCTGTTATGTGCAAATACATATTTGTATCCTCAATGGCCACAAACACTTTCAAATGGCTTGTAATGAAACTGTACTCTCTGCATGTACTCTTATCATAATATAATTTCTAAAAAAAGCATGATATGCTCGTGTTGTTGTGATAAAAGGGAAAAAAAATTACTCATCCTTCTGCCCCCAGAACTTGAAATATTTTTGTTTGATCGGTTCATCTAAATCTGAAAATCACCGGCTTGAAACATTTTCTTCGTCGCAGCTTATAAATTATTTAGATAAATTTTAAATGTCATTTGCACGTTATTTGTCTTAATCAATCGCTTTTGTTTATAAGTATTATGTTATAAATTTCGTAGTAAAGTGGGACTTAATTGAACAATTGAGGAATTATTATTTTAGTAGTAATTCTTAATTATTGATATAAAATCACAATTTGAATGTCCCCTTGAAAAAATATAAAAGTTATTCCAATTAAGATATTAAAAAAAAAAAACAAAATGGGAATCCGACGTGGCGATTAATTTGGAGCTGAGTGGGAAAGGGCCACGGTATCTTCTTCAAGTCTACTCAACGATGTTCTTACGATTCCGAAAAGAACAAATAAAAACAGAAACCAAAAGAAGAAAGAAAAACGTTTCAAAGAAAACCAGGAGAAAGAGAGAGAGCTGGGAATTTAAAATCGCAAGCAAATAAAGTGGAATTGAAATAGAAAAGGGAAAGCATGGCAAAAGAGGGGAGTGGATCCATACTTCAATTCGCGCCGTTTCAGAGTTCAGTAGACGAGGGATTTTGGCACCGATTATCTTCTTTGAAGCTCAACAAGTTTGGCATCGACGATTCTCCGATTCCTATCTCCGGTACCACCCTTTCCCGATCCCCTTTCCATTTTTTAAAAAATTAAACTCGCCACTCTCTTAATTCCCTCAAAAATCTGATTTATTAGTCTAAATTTTCGTTTTTATATATTTAATATGATTATTCTCTTGTCAAAGCAATATTTTTAGTAATATTTTTAATTAATTGTTAATTGGACAAGGTTTAATCCAAGTTTCTGTTGTTAAGGTGGTAATTAATGAAGTTTTCTTATTTTTTGAGATTTTTTAATGCAAAGGCTTTTCAATTTGCGAGCTTCGATGGTAAATTTGGCGTTTTTATGGTCCAACTAAATTGCCTTTTTTTTTTTTGCAGGTTTCTATGCACCGTGCTCGCACCCTCAAGTTTCGAATCATTTAACTCTGCTTGCTGAATCCCTGCCGTCTGATTCTAATGAGGGATCAGCAATGCCGGCTATTATTCGAGGCAATCGAAATAGGTGCTCTGTACCAGGCATTCTTTACAACACAAATACGATGGAAAGTTTCCATGCTTTGGATAAACAAGGCTTGCTCAAGGCAGAAGCAAAGAAGGTGTAACAGTTTGAACAGTTTACTATAGAGTATGTCATGCAATTTGGCTTAATGCGATACGAATCTTATTTGAAAAGTTTATGTTTTGTGTCAATTACTATTAGATTTGGGAGGATATTCATAGCGGAAAAGCTGTGGAGGATTGTGCAGTATTATCAAGGTTCCTTCTTATCTCATTTGCAGACCTGAAAAAATGGAGCTTTCATTATTGGTTTGCTTTCCCTGCTCTTGCACTTGATCCTTCTGCTACCTTGGTTGATTTGAGGCCAGCTTCTCAATGGTTCACCTTGGAAGAGGTGCTCATAATATGATTAGCTCTAGCAAATTGACTGGATTATTATATCTTTGTCAGTGCTTAAAGGTTTCTATTTGTTAATTTTTGACATGCAGGCAGAATCTGTGTCAGCAGAATGTAATGAATGGCGGAACTCAAGTGAAACAGCTGGTAGAGTTTGCCTCTCTGCTGTTGCAAGTTCTTCATTTGCTTTTATCTTACTGCATTGAAATTCAAATGTTATTATGTTCCTGAATTTATGAGTTTACTGCAGATGTGCCATTTTTTTTGGTTAGTATCGGCTCTGATTCACGTGCTACCATTAGGCATCTTAAGGATTTGGAAGCTTGTCAACTTGATGGTCAAAAGGTCTGTCTACCTTTCTATTCATGACTTTTCGGAGTATGAATCGGATTATGGTTGCAGAGGGGACAGTTTTAATGAAAATTTCATATGATAGATGATGTTGATAGACTAAAAGTATGAAATCTTTGATGTTTCTTTCTCAAAGCTACTAAATGTCTTATTGGCAGTTGCTATTTGCATTTTATGACCCATGTCATCTTCCAATCAATCCTGGCTGGCCTCTGCGCAACTTCCTAGCACTTATTTGTTCCAGATGGAATCTGAAAACAGTTCGCTTTTTGTGCTATAGAGAGAATCGTGGTTTTGCTGATTTGAGTCTGTCACTTGTTGGTGAAGCCTTAATTACAGTTCCACAAGGTAGAGTGGCATAATTTGGGTAACAGCTTTTTTCTGGATCAACAGTATGAATTTGTTTTACAGTAGCTTTTCTGACTTACAATATCACTTTAGGATGGAGGGAACATCAATCTGTTCCCAATGCTGTAGGATGGGAGCTTAACAAGGGCAGAAAAATTCCTAGATGTATTAACCTTGCTAAATCCATGGATCCGACTAGGTTACTTCTTCTTCATTGTCACTTTATTAGGCATTATAGTATTATCTATTTATTTTAACCAAGGCATTTTTCCACTTCGTCCACTTTTTCCACAGGTTAGCTATATCTGCTGCAGACTTAAACTTGAAACTAATGAGATGGCGGGCTTTGCCATCTCTTAACTTAGACATCTTGTTTTCTATAAAGTGCCTTCTCCTAGGAGCAGGTACCCTTGGTTGTCAGGTTGCTCGAATGCTTATGGTATGTATTCAGAAAGCAACGATTACTATTTTGGATCATAATTCGTATCTCTTGAGACTAAAGACTGTATGTGTTGCAGGCTTGGGGTGTCCGCAAAATTACACTACTTGACAATGGCAGGGTGGCCATGTCTAATCCATTGAGGCAGTCGCTGTATACATTGGATGACTGCCTTAATGGTGGTGATTTTAAATCCACAGCAGCAGTGAGAAGCCTACAAAGAATATTTCCTGCAGTGGTAATTTATTTATTTGAGGCCTATAATGCAAAGCTCAACACAGAACATACAAATCTTTCCATCTCTCTCACCATGTATCTTATGATAACTTTCTTAGGAAGCAGAAGGTGTTGTTATGGCCATCCCTATGCCTGGACATCCGGTGTCCAGCCAAGAAGAGAAAAGTGTGCTTGAAGATTGTAGACGACTCAATTATTTGATCGATTCTCATGATGTAATTTTCTTGTTGACTGACACTAGAGAGAGTAGATGGCTCCCAGCACTTCTCTGTGCGAACACTAATAAGGTTCATCTCCTTAATTCATGTATGAATTGCTTTGATATTTGACATTCTATTCTGGCATCCTGTTCTGGCATCATCAATTAGGATTCCTAAAGATTTATTACCAGACTTGAGTCATCTAATGATGGCATATTTTGCTTATCCTTTCTCATTATGCAGATAACCATTACTTCAGCTCTAGGGTTTGACAGCTTCCTGGTTATGCGGCATGGACCTGGTCCTTTTAACTCCACTCGTTGCTTGAAAGCTGAAACGTCAAATTCTTTATCTGCTGTCATGGACAGCCTTACCCTAACAAATACAGATGGAAGGCATAGACTGGGTTGTTACTTCTGTAATGATGTGGTTGCCCCAACAGATGTAATTTTTCCGGAGTTTCTAGAATGCAATAATTGGTATTATAGCTGTTTTATATATGTCCAGCTTAACTGTATATCTATGGTGGTTTGTGCAGTCAACTTCAAACCGCACATTGGATCAGCAGTGCACTGTTACACGCCCAGGGCTTGCACCTATTGCTTCTGCACTTGCAGTTGAGCTTTTAGTGGGCATATTGCATCACCCTCATGGGTAAATCCTTTGAAACTATGTGACAAATTCTCTCATTGTAGTTTCTTAGGAGATTTATCAAGCTTTTTGTTCTAATCATCACAAGCAGAGGAGAAGTCTAGATTGGTTCATTGACCTCCCAATTATATATGCAGGATATTTGCTGAAGCTGAGATTGCCAACTCCCATAGTGGTGGAAACTCTGAGCTTCCTCTGGGTATTTTACCCCATCAGATACGAGGTTCCCTTCCCCACTTTCAACAGATGACCCTTGTAGGCCACTCCTCTAACAGTTGCACAGCATGTTGCAGCACTGTGAGTTTATTTCTTCTATTAAAATTGTTCTTTGTTTTTCTCTTATCTTTTATCTTCTTGTTTATCCTTTAAAGGTTTCTTGTATATGTCGGTTGTGTGTCTGTATGATTCTTTTAGCCATTGCCTTAATACAATTTCGCATGGGTTATTGGGCTTTCTTTTAGTTGATTAAGAGATTCAGAAATTGATAAATTTGTTTGATCATGTGTAACTTCAGAGCCCTTTAGCACAAGGGTTTATTTCCCTTCAGTAGGTAAAATAAAAGTCACATGCCTACTTTATCATTACTGGTGTAGCTAAGAAACAGAACATATCCTATGGGACATATTATCATTGAAGTAGTTTTGAGAAAAAAATTTCAAATTTTATTTTATTACAACGCCAGTAACAACAAAGTAAACCTTATGTCTTATAACTCTAAGGTCGGTTGTATGAAAGGCTAAAAAGAGGGTCATGTTAGGTTATAGTTTTGAATTTAACAAGATTACATTTTCAAGCATGCCTGCTTAAAATTTGACTGGGGCTTTTGATATTTAGCTGAAATTACTAATAAATTGGTTGAGGTTCCTTATCCTTCTTTGCTGAAGTTTTATGTTCTGATCATTATGAATAATCCTTTCAGGTTGTGTCGGAATATCGCAAGAGAGGGATGCAATTCATACTCCAAGCTATTAACCACCCTACGTATCTGGAGGATCTTACTGGACTAACAGAGTTGATGAGATCAGCAAACTCATTTCAACTAGACTGGGATGATGAAATAGACGCTGATGATGAATGCATTGAACTGTGAAAATCATTTATACTTTCATAGTAATTTATTCTTCTGTAATACTACCTTGTCAATTGTATAAAAACAAACCAGAAAAGCAATGTCAAAAATTTATATCCATAGTCAGTTTCATCTACAGCTCGAATCCAATCTGACATTTTCAGAGGTCGAGAGCCTTATCCTAATATGACATTCAATGATTATAATTTAATTAAGTTACTTGCAATGCTAACCACAGCACCAGTGGTCTAGTGGTAGAATAGTACCCTGCCACGGTACAGACCCGGGTTCGATTCCCGGCTGGTGCAATTTTGTTCTTTTTCATTACTTTTCCAAAAAGATTTCCTGATTCTTTAGTTTCTGTAAAACATTGTCTAAGTTACCCATCATTCTTTTTCTTTTTGGATTTAATCATCCATCATCCCAAATTCTTAGATCTCATCATCAATCATGAACCATGAATTCTAACCTCACAAACAATATTAGTTCACAAGCAAAAGCTTTGAATTTTGTCTTCATTGAGAGAGACTATCACAATTATTTTTTATTCTCTTTTTGTGATTGTGCAGTGACTTGATAGACTCAACAATCAAACACAATCAACATGGTAGGTAAGCAAGTGTTGCATTTTAAATGTTGGAAAAGGACTGCTGCGCTCTTTTGTCTTGTTACTTTCGTTTCCGAGTCTGTGATTGTGCAGTGAATTCCTGGGCTGATCCAATTTTAGAAGTCCTATTCGAAGTGGCAGTTAATCTGTGGCAAACAGAAAAATGTGGGAAGTAATTTAGCGGAGAGACAAGCTCACCATCAAAATCGTTGTCAAGTAATTAAAGTAGGTCTATCGCCTAGTGGTAGTGCTTTTACATTTCATTCACATTTCACAGGCTCGTGAGAACCTTTACTTGAAGGCAGAAAAAGCCAAGGTTGCTCAAAGAAGATTGGAGCTTTTGAAGTCTCCAGGTCTTTGCCGCCTCAAAGCTTTGCAAAAAGGTCTAAACCTTATAGGAAGTGGCTTTTGCATTTTTCGTATGTCGAAGCGGACTCAAATCATTCTAACGTATTGTACTCAATGTTAGTTAGTATTGTGGATGCATGATATAATCATCCAACAAATTTCTCTATCCTTTGCTAATGCCGTTGTTAGTTGTTGACACTTGACACTAACTCTTGGCTTCACAGATCATGGGATGCCCATTACTCCATATATATAATATAGATTTAGCTGATTTTGCAGGTGCGCCCATGTGGCACCACATAGGAATCGACTCGGCTTCTATAAGTTATTTCTTCAATCCAGGGCCAATAAAGATTTGCAGAGAATTGTTCACCCTATTAAAAGATGAGAAAAAAAAAGATGGTTTGTACCTGAAAACCTGGCCTCAAATTTCATGCACTGTTCAAATCCTGAAGCATGATACCCTGAACCCAAGTTATAGTGAAACATGATTTTTTAAAGATAATTTTAATATAAATAGCATATACATATATATATATATATATATATACACACACATACATACATAAACTCTTAATTTTTTACCCTAATTTTTTATAAAATAGTTGAAGCGGTTAGTTATTGGTAGGTCAAGCGAACTGAAAAGTTTTCGCTGATATATTGTTGGACGTTAAGCATTAAAATGATTCTTTGGAGACATTAATAAAATATTAATCTGTCCTTGTTCTTTTTTATTTGGATGAGTATGTATATGTTACTTCTTCTAAAAATCAAGCTACCTTTTAAGTTCATGATGAACAGAAAAAGGTTTTAAGCCTTTCATATCATTTTTGAGGGACAAATATCATTGGCTTTCCTTGTAAAAGAGATTCTTTAACAACATAGACAAGCGTGATAAAAATGGAAGGATTTTCAACACATGGCATATCGAGAGACTAAAAAGAGATAATGTTTTAAAAAGTAAAATCAATTCAATTTACAATCCCATGTGAAAAAGAGTCGAGGGTTTGAGGATGAATTGTGGTACATCTCTCCCCAAGCCTTACGTTTTTCTACTGTTTTGTCAGGGCAAAGCCATAGGATAGTTGGGGGTACCTGTTTGGCTTGTGGGAAAATTCCATGCCTATGGTTGAAAAGATGGGATAAAAATTTTTTTAGTGGATTCTGACATGGAATTTCTACGCCGTCGGAAGAACCCATTATGCCATTCCACCAATTTTTTCACCAAATTTATTAGAGATAGAGATCAAGAGAGGGACGGGGGAAGGAAGCAATAGATCAGATAGGTCAATTTTGGTGATTAGCCTAAGTGCTGCACTAAGAAATCTGTGTCCCACACAACATTCTTGGCCAAATTGCAAGGCTTATGGCTAGAATTTTAAGTTGTCAATTAATAATAGAAGTATTTTAGTACTACTTATCTATAAGAAATAGGATTACTATTTTGTACGTGGAAAAGTATATGCCCGTATTAAACTCTCAATCCTCTTACAATTATATTGTTGTTAAAAGCTGATCCCATCATAAGAAACTATTAAGATTTAGCCCAAGTAGATTGAAATTATTAAGCATTGCTCGTGCCAAAAAAAAAAACTGTAATTTTCATTGGAAAAAAGGCGAGGAGTCTCATAGTGCTCGATATTATTATTGAAGGTAAATGGAGTTCATAGCTCTTCTATTATTTTATTTTTCTTTGGTATTCTATTATTTTGCTCTTTTTCGGTACGTTTCCATAACTGTGTTCTTGACTTTGTTTCGTAGCTTCTTTGTTTTATATATTGTTCTAGATTGATCACATGAATTTTGCTTTTGATTTTTTTAACAAGAACAAACCAAATGATAACAAAAAAAAAATCTGGCTTAATTTGTTGAATTGTACTGTGAGATCTTAACGTACCTTTGAAAAGTTCATTAGAATTCTTAAGCCAACTTACAATTTGAATTTAAGGGTGATGAATCACATAAATGTACCTTGAACATGAAGTCACACCATGTGGGTGGCTATATATGGCTAACCAGCAGAAACAATTACCTAATTAATTTGTGGTGAAATTAGGTAAGTATTTTAAGATTTTACATTTGTAGCAAATTAACCTCTTATTTATGGTACCAAAGCCATAGGGATCCACTGCAGAAATGGGATTCTGAAACAGCGCCAAGCCACACCTGAATGTAATTAAATAAACTAAACCTGTCACCTTAAAAGAAAAAAGCTTATATGATTAAGAAAAACAAAATATTTAATTTTGTGTCAGATCATAGCTTAATTGCATTGAAAAATTCTGAAACCAATTATATATATATATATATATGTGTGTGTGTGCGCACGTGTAAAAATATCAAATTTATTGATGTGGATCAGATATTCTGATCAATTTTCTTCTACAGCGGTATAGCTTTAAAAGTTTTTAATTATTTGCAGTTAGCATGAATACCAGGTCTATGTAAAATATATGATAATATGAACCAGCTGTTGCTCCCTGAATCCCCCATAACTTAAACAATGGCTTGCATCAAAACCCAGATTAAGTTTCTCAAAACTTGATGTAATCTTGTCCGGAAATCTATGATTTTATGATTTTCATACATGAAAGAATCTTCCAAGAATGTACCAGCTCGGGACAAATCCGTGGCCGTAATTAGACTATTAACCCTCAATTTCTCACATAAATTTCTTTCCATTTCTGCAAATTAAACTGTTAAGCAACGGGGCAATATGGGAAGTAAACATAAAACCCAAATTAAGCGGAGAAATCATGTTGTCTTAAATGTCAGTCAGGGCCTAAGAAGGTTAAAAGAGACAACACTGTTCCCTTTGCATGTGATTTATGCTCCCTCCCCTGCCTTTTCTGATAGAGTGCCTTGTCTCTTGTCTCTTACTCATCCTTACATATTCTCATCTCTCCTCGTTCTTTTTCTCTATAAAAAAATTAATCCAAGTCTTAGACTTAACGTTTTAATAGTTTTATATAAACAAATGAACCCCTAAAACAGTTCTTTCAATTTCGATTCTTTAACCATATGTCTTCCTCTCAAACTCAAAACATGTCTACTTCTTCTTCTATTCGGTCACTTTCTTATAGAAAGTTTAAGTTCTTTGCTAGAATCCGCAGGTTTTTGCAATCCAAAGCAGCAAGGAAACGATGCGGCTCATCATCTGATCATTCAAACAAGTTAAGAATAAAAAATAATACTGATCATAAAGCGGAAGAGGTTATGGAGAAAGAGAGCGAGCTGCTGGATGGTTCCGTGGTTTTGCAAAAATCTGTGAAGAGGCTTCACTTTGGGAGCTGGGAAGAGAAGGAGATGGCTGCTAAGGTGATTGAGAAACTCGCCAAAGAAGACGTTAAGGCAAGGAAGGTGATGGCTGAGCTTGGCGTTATACATATGCTTGTGTCCATGGTGGCTACTGAGGTGGTTCGCCGCCGTCGAGCCGCCATCAAGGCCTTGATCGAGCTTGCTAATGGAACTTTTACGTAAGTTTTCTATATTAATTTCACTATTTATTTATTTATTTATTGTTATTTTGATTCAATGAAAAAGGGTAGAATTCATGGCATCCGTTTTAATTGTATTTTGCAATTATGTAAAATACGGTCAGCTTTCATGTTTTTAGTTAGCAGATATAATTCTTATTGTTGGATCTTTTAATATAAACATAAATGATTGAATTTACATGGTATGAAGTAAATATATCTTGGGTTAGAAATTAAATTAGAGGGATGGTACCGGAGAGGGGAAACTGGAAAGGACTCCTGTTCTTGTCCTGGAAGTTGTATTTTTTTATTTTTGTCAGAAAAATATGCTGCAATAAGAAAAGAAAGTTGTTCATAAGGCTGCTAGAATTCAACTTTTTTCAACAAAGTTTGAAACAATGGAGCTCTGTTTTTGGTACCATCTCAATAAGCATAGGTCACATTCATTTCATCAGGATAGGGATAAGGGGTCCCATAAATGGTTGATCAAATTCATAATCTATTATACTGTGTATTAATCATAGTCTAAACTTCAGTTTATTTAGCTTACCTATTTCTAATCAATGGAAACTTTTTTATTTCTAAATTAATTTCCCCAATTGGAATAAAGAAAATGATTTTGAGTGGAGCCCTTTTAGGGGAACCAGAAATATTTGACCTTTTAAGGTTGGGGTACCTCACGTGGTAGGTCTTCTGCCCAATTTAGGTTGTTCAACAGACGGGAAATTTGGGTCCCCAGATTCCCAGCTGCTTTGCCTTTGGTGATATATAATCAAAACAGAACAATTAATCTTTATAGATTCAGAGTTGTTCACTGTTAAATGGCTTTAAATATTGTTTGGTTGCAACACTAGGTGTCAAACCCTTCCATGAATTGACCCATTTGCATCTCAGATGTTGAGACTTGCCATGTGCAATAGAGCATAACTCTAGCCATCTGGAACTTTTAAACATTAATAGCAATGAAAATGAAATGAAATTTACAGATGTGAGCATGAGTTGGAAGCATTAATACTGTAAAAAAGCAAATGATTTTAATGATCCTGAAATCCAGTGGCTGCGAGGTGCGGTCCCTGTCCACCAGGTTCCCATGGTGGTAGGAGTTGAAAGGGCAATAATTATGTTATCAGAGACTCAATGTTTTGCTAACCAACGGGATACAGTGTAGTTGATCAGATTCCATAAGATATTATTCTGAACAATTAAGAAAAATAATCAGTATTCTTGACCTTCACCTTCCTACCCTGATCTAAATCTGAGATTATCATTGACTTCTCTGTTTTATTGGTTGTTTATTTTATTGACTGGTTAGCTCTGCTTCCACATTGTTTCTATTTGAGAGTCCTAGTTTAACCAATTATGGAGCTCTTTTGGTTTATCATCTCATCTACCCATAAAATTATTGTCCTTTCTTGTATTAAATAAAGTTTCGATGTCATTGTTGACTTCAACTTTTGGGTTGGTTTTGCTTTTGTCAAACCTTAGTCTAATCAGTTTGTGCTTTTCTTCCTAATTTTTTTTCTCCTCTTGTCTTTGACTTTGCTTCAGAAACAAGGCTCTAATGCTAGAGGCTGGAATATCCTCAAAGTTACCAAAAGACATTGACGTTGTAGACGAACAAACGAGGCATGAATTTGCAGAACTGTTATTATCATTGTCTTCTATGTCAAATACCTATTTCTCACTAGCCACATCTGAGATCCTCCAATTTCTCATTGGAATTCTTGAGTCAGCCTCCAGCCTTGAAACTAAGGAGTCCTGTTTAGGTGTTTTATACAACCTGTCTGCTGTTTTAGAAAATGCTGGACCTTTGGTATCTAATGGAGTAGTGCACACTCTCTTGAAGCTATCTTCATTCAAAGAACTATCAGAAAAAGCCCTTGCAGCACTAGGTCACTTGGTGGTGACTTTAATGGGAAAAAAGGCTATGGAAGATAGTTCAATGGTACCAGAGAGCTTGATTGAGATTCTAACATGGGAGGATAAACCCAAATGTCAAGAATTATCAGCCTATATTGTAATGATTTTAGCTCATCAAAGCTCCAAACAAAGGGATAAAATGTCAAAGGCAGGAATTGTTCCTGTACTTCTTGAAGTGTCCTTGCTTGGGAGCTCTTTAGCTCAAAAGAGAGCAATGAAATTGTTACAATGGTTTAAAGATGAAAGGCAAACAAAAATGGGGCCGCATTCTGGACCACAAACAGGAAGGGTTGCAATCGGTTCACCTCTGCATCCGAGGGAGGCTGTGGAAGGAAAGAAAATGATGAAGAATCTGGTGAAGCAAAGTCTTCATAAGAACATGGAAATGATCACCCGACGAGCCAATGCTACCGGTGATTCTTCTAACGTCAAGTCCTTGTTCCTCAGTACAAGCTCTAAAAGCTTGCCTTACTAAAATATTTCTGCAACACTTTTATGATCAATTTTTGTGCTTCAAATTGGAGTGCAATTCTTTTGCAATGGCATGTAATTATTGCAAATGATGGGAAAGATGATCGAAGGCTTTCCCCATATAGATGGAAGAATTCAGCAACTTTGTGAACGAATGCATTTTCTTGTGCAGTAATTAGCGTATAAAACAATTGTATATCATGATTCATGATCAACAAAAGTACAGAAGAAAATAATCCAGAAATTGGGTAAATGCTGAAATTTTCCCCTTAATGGCATGTAATTACACACTTCAAGATTTTTATTTTCTCCTTTCTTCACACTGATTTGTATAGTTGAACATGAAATAAATCACATTAAATAACTTAAATAAATATATCTTTATTGCTTGAATGAAATTAATTACTCAGAGTAGCCATGTGCTGCAATGTTACAAGGCTTGCATAAATTGTGCATTTTGCACGTGTGGAAGGGTCAACCAACTTGGACAAAACAATTATTAGTTACTATTATAAAATTTTTTATTTAATTTGATCATTTCGTACAATTACTCTTAAAAATCGATATTTAATATATTTAAAATTTAAATCTTACAATTTATAGTCTTTTTTATCTCTAAATTGAGAAAGACTTAAATAAATTTCTTTAGGTAAAATTTTTTATTAAAAATGATTAAATAAAAATAAAAACAAAAATAAAAATATAGATTGAAAGATCTTGTTATTTTAATGAAGTATACAAAATTTGATAAAAATTTAATAAATTTTGATGTATATTTTTAAATAGACATTTTTAGCAAAATATTAATAAAATTTTTACCGTTAAATAAGTATCGATCAAATTTAAATTATAAATAATATTTTAATAATTTTTTACATATTCTTAATATTCATGTTAAACTCTATTAATTTATCAATTTAAAATTTTTATTAAATCATTTTTTTAAAAAAATTTCACAAATTTTATTTAAAAAACTTGACGGAAATTTTGTCTCTCTAAATTATAGTTTCTTTGGTAAAAAAAAAAAAGATAACAATAATTTTTTCCTTTTTTTTTTTTTTTTCAGTGTCCCACCACATCTCTGTTAATAAAGATTCTAGTTTTGCATTGTAAAACTATCATTAAAGATCTTTAAAACAGTTGGAATTGAACAAAATACAGCCACCAAGATGAGCTTATAAACCATTCCAAATGACAATTTTAGGTTTATTTGGTGCCTAAAACCCATACTGGTATTCAATGAGTAAATATTTTTAAGCCTTTACCCAAATGATCAATTTTGAGCCCACCATATTGCCACTTTAGTTTTAACTAAAAATCCATATATTTTTTTTCTCTGCTTGTTTGATTGAGATAGGTTTATTAAAAGGGATTCTTTTATGTGGTCTCACATCTATGAAATCTGAGGAAAGACACCCTTTATACTAATGAACAATGATGGAAATTTCCTTCATATTTGTTTCATATTTTGGGATAGGTGACATTTCACAGCCCCATTTGCATGTAATCATTTCTTGAATAATTTGGACATCTGAGTCATATTGTTAGAAAGAATTCTTTAGGATTACTAATTTTCTTAATTAGAAGTTGTCATTCTATGTACCAAAAAAATTGAAAAATGGTCTTCACAATCAATACACAATTGGCCTTGCTCATTCATAAGTATTGGATTGTTTTGGATTCAAGTATTGCTTTACCAATTGTGCCATGCCTGTAGGAATTTGATTTATTAAAAAAAAAAATTTGCTACCTACAACCATTTTAGTATTACCCCAAGAAAGGGAAAACTTCATAAATAATTTACCTAAGCTACTTACTCATGATTGCTTGTTTAAAACATGAAAAAGAAAAAGAAAAGTTACTTATGATTGAGTTTCTAGGACAATCATACCACCTAACTAACAACCTTTGAAATGCTTTAACTTGACCAGGAAAAATCACATTTGGATTATATGATTGATATATATATATATATATATATATACATGTATTATAAATTGAATTAGAGTTTAGTTGAAATTTTAATAAAAGGATTCACATCTCGCGAAACATACATTTTATGACTAAACGGTTCAATAATAAAATATATCATTTGATGAGGTAAGATTTAATTGTAAAACTTTTTATTTTAATATAATAAAAGTTATTCAATCAAAATTTTAAATGGATCTTAATAATTAATATATTTTTTATAATATATTTAAATATAATAAATAATAATATAATAAAAATAATTTTTAATAAATTTTATAAAATTTAAAAAATTATTGATGATGTATGAAATAATAATTTAAAATATAAGCTAAAAAATTCATAAAAGAAAAATTAAAATGAAAAAGGAAAGAAAAGGAGAGTCCGTCTCAAAAGGTTCATACCATAAACCTAGTACATGGTTAGAGTAAAATCTTTGTCACGTTAGGGAAAGAATCAAGTGCGGCCAATCACAAAAAAACACGTTTTTCCCAAATTCTCACAACCAAGCAGAAAAAAGTACTCTTTTCACTTTTCCAAGTCTGTCCTTCCTTTTTTTCTATTTCTCTCTCACTGTTGGTCTGGACCTTCCTGTCCTTGACCGTCCAAGTATTTCCCTTCCTCTTTTAATCAATTCATTATGTTACATGTTTTACTAGTACAATAATTTTCTGTTGTTAGCCGTATTTCCTTTTTTTTTTTTTTTTTTTGAGAAATATTTCCTTTTTAATTTCCTTGTTCTGCTTGCCTACTTGTAGTTGAAGTTTGGAGTAACTGAACAAGGGTTTAATTCATAATCTTCCCCTCTTTGATTTTTTTATGCTTTTCGATGCTTGAGAAAAACCTGTAAGTCTGTTCAAAAAAATTTCTAATCTAATTTTCTTTTAATTTAGCTAAGGTTTCTTCCTTTGTTCATGTCAAGTTTTTTCCCAGCCTGAAGTTACAACTTTGGGTCATTTACTTTAATCTGCTAACAACTTAACAGTTTACTAATAATAATGTTTGTACTTGTTGATCATCTGGGTTTTTTTCTGTTTCTGCATGCTGATCATATGAGTGTTTTTTTTTTTTTTTCTTTTTTAGGTTATGAAATTCTGTTGCTTTGGCTTAAGTTGGTGTTTGTTTATTAGTTTTTCTGTTTTGGCTGTGAAGAAGACTTGTTTCTCTTGGACTTGGGCAATCGCTGGTTTCTGGTTATTGCTTGTTTCATTTTTTTTTTGGGTTAAATTTAGAAGTTGTGATGGTCAAATTGAGATTAGCACTTAAAATTTTAACAAATTCTGTCTGCATTGCAATTTATATAAAATTTTGATCTGTTGGGTACTTGGGGTTCAGTCTTGACTCTTGAGTTGTTATAATCTTTTAAGATGTTCCTGTGTATTTGACTGTTGAATAGACCTTTACCTATTTAGGAAACTTAAATTGGGAATAAAGAATTCACTGCATGTGAAGGGAGTAGTTTTGACAGTTAAAATGCAATTCTGTAATTAGTCCTTACTCTTTCTCTTAATTTCTGTTTTCTTATAGATCAACTTCAAAAATTTCAAAACGCTATTACCATATAGTCTGATTCAGTTCTAGAGGTTGCTGCTTGGAACAACGATTTCTGGATGCTGTCAACTGCTAGACCACAATTTTGTAGACTTGTCTACATGTTCTTTAACTAGTTGGTCCCCAAATCTTAATTTGTTTATGTTATCTCAAACTGTTTTTGCTGAATTATATTCTCTGTCCTAGATGTGAACTATGATCACGAGCATTTCTGGAAATATGATATTGTAGCATCTTTGTATGGGGAATAAAGTTTTGACTAGTTGATGGAACATTCCTTATTTGTACTTGGATGTAAGGCTTCACTAATATAATTATTGAATTATGCAGTTCATCTAACACCCAAGTGGCTGTATTTGAAAAGTGAACGAAAGCTTCCTTGTGTCTGTTCAATATGGATAGCAAATCAAAAGGCATAGCCTGGGTTGGCAACATCTATAAGAAGTTTGAATCTATGTGCATGGAGGTGGATGATATGGTGTGCCAGGTATTGATTAACATTCATCTTTTGCCCTCTTAAAATTAAAATATTAACACTTTTGTTGTGTCAATGGTTTTTTATGACTTTGAAACATTTGGTATGTTTTTTATTATGAAGAAAAGACAGTCACTTTCGTGATTGAACAACATATCTTCTGACTCTTGTTTCTTCTTAAAATTTCCATACTCATTGGACTTGTCTTTTATATTATTTTGACTTATATTTATTGCTGCATGAATTTTGGGCCATTATTTTATTTTCAGTACAATTCTATTCTCTAGTTTATGGAACAATAACTTCTAAAGTGGTTGTGTTTTCTTAACAAATTGAAAATACTATCTAGATTGCCGTCTTACAATATTTAAACGAGATACTTATATGATGCATAACTTTGCTGCTTTATTTACATTAATAAAGTTCATCTTTGGTGCTTTGAATATCTGTCTCTTAACGAATTCTTCCAATGCTGCTAATATCTCTTTTAAAATTTGATGGCATTAACATTGAAATATGTTGAAAACCAGTTGCAGACAGTGGGTGCCAATGTTAAACAATTGTGCACAGAACTAGTGCAAGAGGTGCTCCCTTCATCTCCTACCAATTCAGTGGAAGAGATTAACTTGTCTCTGGTGCAAAATGTGGGTGTCACAGGCTATGAAGATTCAAACGTAAGTGTTGATGAAGATCACTCCAAGAAGGAACTGATTAATTCCTCTTCCGTTGAATCTAAACAATTGTGCACAGAACTAATGCAAGAGATGCTCCCTTCATCTCCTACCAATTCAGTGGAAGAGATTAACTTGTCTCTGGTGCAAAATGCCGGTTTCACAGCCTATGAAGATTCAAACATAAGTGTTGATGAAGATCACTCTCAGAAAGAACTGATTAATTCCCCTTCCGTTGGCTGTAAACAATTCTGTGCAGAACTAATGCAAGAGGAGCTCCCTTCATCTCCTACCAATTCAGTGGAAGAGATTAACTTGTCTCTGGTGCAAAATGCCGGTGTTACAGCCTATGAAGATTCAAATATAAGTGTTGATGAAGATCACTCTCAGAAGGAGCTGATTAATTCCTCTTCTGTCGAATCTAAACAATTCTGGACAGAACTAATGCAAGAGGAGCTCCCTTCATCTCCTACCAATTTGGTGGAAGAGATTAACTCATCTCTAGTGCAAAATGCTGGTCTCACAGCCTATAAAGATTCGAACATAAGTGTTGATGGAAATCACTATCAGAAGGAACTGATTAATTCCTCTTCTGTCAAATCTATTGAGAATGTATATTTTGGTTTATCTTTGGAGCAAAGTACAGAGGATGAGAGTGCCTTGGCAGATTGTTCAGGCATCATACCATCTGATTCTGTAATGTTGGCTCAAGCCTGCAAGAATGAACTTCAGTACATTGATTCTACTCTAGCTGACACCTCATTAGAGTTAATGGGTAAGTATTTCATTTGTATGATATATCCATGTGTCATTTATTTTCTTTAATACTCTTTGTTGATGCCTTATATGTTGCTTTAGAAACCCTTAAAACCATGCAAGCAATCACTATCTGAGAATCAGGGTAGTTTCCATGTTAACTTAATCAGTCGCATCCAGTTCTGAAATCATAGGAAGAAAATCACCATGTTTTAGTTAAAGTAATACTTTTTATTCTTATACTTAAAGTAAATGAGTTGTTGCAGAAGAGGCTAGCGATAAATCTGTTTCAGAAATGGAACTAGAAGCTGTTCTTGTTCCATCTTTTGATGAGGTAAAGCTCGAAGAAAGCTGCATTATAGTATACAGTAACGAGCTTCATTCCCTCTCTAATGAAGCAGGAGAACATAGGTCGTACATGGTACGAAACTCTCTCCCTTCCACCAAATTCATTCTTCTGGTAAATTTGTGTTCCACCTGTGCAAGAGACCAGCTTTTCCTACATTTTGTTATTCGTATCTGATATTATATGTTATTTTCAGGAACAGAAAAAGTTTCGGGAGGCTTTTTCTTCCAAGTCAAGGTTAGCAAAGCGGATTAATGAACAGCATGCAGAATCGACTAAGGAGAAAGGAAATGGTGTTGGACCATCCATTCAAACCAACAAATCTGAATCACAAGACATGGAATTTTGTGAATCGGATTGGGAGATTATATAGACAAGTTTTACTTTGTTTTCTTTTTTATGGCCTTGGCTTAGCTATGCAGATAAAATAATAAGAATGTAGACAAACATTCTTAAATTATGAGACTGGAATTTCCCTCGGTTAAAATGTATGGAGATGGAGAGAATTAGGCACTCGAGTAAGCTTGAGGAAATCCAACCTGTTGGATTGGTGGAAACCGGAAACTTTACTTTGTTTTGTGTTAATTGGTAATTGCGGTCGGCTTTAAGCTTTTACTGCACATTGTGTTTTTTTTCCTTGCCATGATGATAAATTTCATTGCCTGAAAATGGTAAAAATCCATTGGGAAATCTGGCTTGATTAATAACAAAGGAATCTGTTTTTCAAACAATCAAGAGCCAAGAATTATAATGCATAGCGTCAACATGCCACATTTTATATGCCCTGTGACTCAAAAGAAATGCCATTCTTCTTCCTGAACTTGCCGTTTAGAGAGTGAAAGAGGCTGAAGGGATTTGGGTTCTTATGGATTTAGTAGTAAGCCACTGAGATGATGTTATTACTGACATTGAAGCCATTTTTTTAGCACATTGTGCCTGTTTCTCACTTATCCGGTAATCTTTCAGAGCTACACAACCTCAAATGGGAATTGGTCGAGATGGAATGTGATAGGTTGGGTTTGACCTTCTTACTGAGCCCAAAGAACTTGGAAACCGGCCAATTTTAATTAAATGAGCCCAAACCTACTCATTGAAAAAGTTTGTCATCCTTGGGCCTATATATTTATTACTTAATATAATAATAATACCTTAAAAACAATCGTTAATAATACCTATAACAAGTATCTTAAAAATATAAATTAACAAATCTAAATAATATTTAAAGTTTTTATATTTGTGCTGGCTTCTGGATCCAAGCTAGGAAAGGTTTTCCAATCAAAACAGATGCAAGTGGAGCTGCCAGACATGCAATTTCTCTGTCAATAAAGTAATGCTAAAGCACTCCAGTTGATCTAGGAAAAGGATGATGTATTAATTTTTAACAACTGCCTATGTACTAATAAAGGTAAAAGCTCATGGCCCATGGATAATGGATAATGAATGATCAGTTGCCATTTCGATCTTACAAGTCACAACCCTACATGTCATTGGCTAAATATATATTGGTTACTTTAAGAAATTATATCGAAGCAATCATGGAGTTAACATATTCAGGCCGCTAAAGTACTTATTGATGTGGTGGGCACTTAGAGAATCTGTAAAATGTTTTTATCATTGCTTGTTTGGTCAGGACGAGAGTATGAGATAAAAGATTTAGTGTGTTGTTGTTATCACTGTTGTTTGGGTTTGGCCAGGACATAAAACTTATTGGCCTCATTTAAGACTTGTGTTTATCCAGACAGGCTGGTGGTGTGGTTTCGCATTTGGTTTTTGCTTGCTGAAAACGCAACGTCAAAGCTGTGGGGTTTGGTTGTTCAACTTTGATAATCGGCAAACTCAATCACAAACTAGGATCGTTTAAGCTAACAATCACTCGCCCACCTCTTCCCTAATTGACTTCACCTTCATTGCTGAGCATGAAGCTCCGTTCTGAGCGCAATGAGAGTTATCAAGACGCATTTTCTTCCTCAACCATGTGTTAGATGGGGCAGAAGGGATGTGATGTCTTCCTTGAGTAATAAGCAATTTGTAGTAAATCATTTTATGGATACAGCCATTTGCCAAACTGTAGGCCACCCAGTACTTTTTTATGTTGGATAACAAGCTTTGACTCTTAAAAGTTTTCCCAACTCCATCATAAACAACAAACAGAAGCATGAGGAGGTGATGTTATCGTTGGTCCACACTCCACTACTTTCGTTCAGAAGGTGTGGGCTTAAGGCAAAGCAAATAAGGATATAATCTACTAGCCAGCCGCTCATCAGAAATTCTCATCAATCATTATACCACCATTCTGCTGAGCAATACACACACACACACACACGACACCACCACCACCACAATTGCGTCATAAGTCATATGCTTCTTTTTGCAATAAAATTAGAGTTTAGGTTGGAGCCTTGAAAGTGGAATCGACCTCTAAAGGACAAAAGCATTTAGCTAAAATTAGTAGTGAGCTGTTTTTGTGGTTTAGGATTGAAGGAAAAATAGAAAGATCCCTCTATTTCAATCATTTTGTTTCCTTTCTCCTTTTGACCTCTATTACTATATAATGGGAGGAACCCAACGTTGCTCGAAAAGTCTCTCTTTCTTCCAATCCCACAACTGAAACTTTGAAAGCGCTTCTCTCCTCTCATTTTAGAAATAAAAGATGCCAAAAACGTTGAGAATTTGCGAATGCCTAATGGCGTAGGCAGTGCATCATCATAGCTATCATTGTTTTAATCCCTATCAATTTCATCAGTATTTTTATATCGAAAGTTGAGTTTTAAAATCTTGGCAACTTTTGATCAGGTTCATCACACTTTTCCTTTTGAAGATAGACATCCTATTAATGGAGCATTACCTAACCTATTGGTAGTATATGCTAAAGATTGTTGTAAATGACATTTCTTAGTAAATATTTTAGTCCAAAGATTTATGAATAATTTTGGTGTTTGCTTTAATTTTTTAATTTCAAGAATAAGTGCTCACAAGACTTAAATCAATTCATTGATTATAATTTATTTTATGAGATATCTTCGAAAAAGTTTAGATTTAAATTTCAATACCTATAATATTTTCCCCAATCTTCATACTATTTTCTTCTTTATACTAAAAAAAAAATGAAGAATAGGTCCCATGTATAGTTTAACCAGGAAATCCTGAAGTCTGAAGCAACAGTGAAAGCACCAAATTTAGAAATGTTGGTTTGCGTCCAAATGCCTTCCAATGCCAGAATAGACTGACGACCAACCTTACTGATGGGATGTGATCACTTTTTAAGATAGGACCCCGATTTGGCGAATGTTGTCCCCCTGGGCCTGGTGAGGTTTGTTAAACATATTGTCGTTAAGCTCAGAGCCAGAACTCAACCGCCAAAGTAATTGGCCTCTTGCGGTAATGGCAGGGAAAGAGTGATATGATATTGGGGCTTTTGATAAGAAATCCAGAACGAAACAGCCCCTTGATAACAACAGCTATGCAACTATATCGCCCCACAATCCCACCTTGGCGTCTCACATTTTCTTTTTTGAAGTTTCCCTATTTGAGTTGCCATCATATTGACCATACGGTACTCGACTATGAAAGGGAATTTTTGGTTGCATGATTACTTATAATCTGTAATTGAGCTCTCCTGAATTTAGCCAATCCATCAAATGCCAAGTATCTTCCACAAATTCGTTATAGATAAAAGACAATGACTTGCAACTTTATGATTGGTTATCTATTGTCAATGATATATGATGCCTGTTCCATTATATCCAATTTAACTTCCATCGCAAGTCTTTTTAAGTTTGATTCATATTGCTGATAGTCTCCTTTGATAAATGATTTATAAATCTAATATAAATTTCGAGGAAACTTACAACATACTTGAAATAATATAATCTCCTTTCACTTCAACTTATTTTCTAAGGTTATATAAATAAATAAATAAATAAATAAAAGATCCATCTATAAAAAAGGTGTAAAGCTCAAGCTAACCGTCAAGCATTTACTCTGTTTCTTCGTTTTAGCTCTCCTTCTCGTGAAGCAAAGTACATTTCTTGATGAGTAGATCTAATATAATACAAAGCCTCGTATATAAGAGACGTATACGAAGTTTGGTAAATTTTGTGAAATTTTTTTATTAAAAATGATTCAATAAAAATTAAAATTGAAAATTAAAATTGATGAATTGATAAAGTTTAATAAAAATAATAATAACATATAACAAATATTAAAAATATTATTTATAATTTAAATTTATTGTGTACTTATTTAATAGTAAAAATTACGTCAAAATTTTTACTAAAATATATATCTGAAAAATATATCAAAATTTACAATTTTACAAACTTAATTTATATAACAAAATTTTTTAATCTATCAATTTTAAAATTTATTTTTATTAAATAATTTTAACAAAAAATTTCATGAATTTCATTAAAAGAACTTACCTTTTAAGTCTTTCCCTGTATATAATGATATCTTGAGTTAGAAATTTGCTTTTTTAAGCAATGGAGAAAAATAGACTATCATCAATATCGTCAGGGTTACATCAACTAATATTTTATACTACCATTATCTTGCCCTAGTAATTAATTTCTCCACTAAAAAATTAAAGACAAAAGTTAAAACCGTGTGCTGGTTGACAGTAGTACATTATTAGCATGTCACATGCAGCCAAATGTAATGTAAAAGAAGTTTAGAAGAGCGTATGCCATAAAAAAATTAACATTTTGATTTCCCCATGAAAACAAAATTAGAAATTCAACCTCCACGATTCCCTACACATTGTACTATAACGAATTCCTCAAGTTGTCTCCCAAATTATGTAAAAATAAAAATCAATGTCTCTAGTTTATTCATCTGAACCACCAAGCAGCTCTTCCCTGGTTTTCCTCTCTCCTTCTTACTCTCTCTGTTCCTCACTCTTAGTCTCTCACACTTGTATATAAACCCTGGGTCAACAGACAACTTTGTTTCATATCAGGAGCTTGGTTTATCTTTGAGCAATTTATCAGGGACACAAAATCCCAGATGGGTTTCAGGTGTGAATGCCTGTTGTGTTTGTTTCTCATATTTTGGTTTGTGTTCTTGCAAGAAGCAAGTGCAAGGCAACCTTACTACAATGTGACTAGATTAAGCGGTAGAAAGCAAGTGAATGGATGCAATTTGTTTCAAGGCAAATGGGTATTTGATCCTTCTTATCCTTTCTATGACTCTTCAGGATGTCCCTTCATAGATCCTGAATTTGACTGCCTTAAGTATGGCAGGCCAGATAAGCAGTATCTTAAGTACTCCTGGAAACCTGATGCCTGTAGCTTGCCAAGGTACCCTTTTTTTCCCTCTTTATTTTCTTTTAACTGTCAACCTCATTGTAGACTCTTTCACTGAGAAAGATTGCTTTTTCTTCTTTTCCTTTGCTGTTAGATTTAATGGGGTGAGTTTTCTGGCAAAATGGAAGGGGAAGAAAATAATGTTTGTGGGTGACTCACTGAGTTTGAACATGTGGGAATCTCTGGCATGTATGATTCATGCGTCGGTGCCCAACTCCAAGACCACATATGTTAGGAAGGACCCTTTGTCTTTTGTTGTTTTTGAGGTGAGTATTTGCCTTTTTGTCTTTGAAAAATCAACTTAGTTTTACACTCTGCACAGGACTGAATGTGTCTTTTTTCATTAATGCTATTCTTTTCATAAATTCTAGTTCCAAACCTCCTTCCGCTTGTTCCACGATTTCCATCTCCTTCTTTTTAGAAACTTTTCTAGTTTCTCCTTCCAATAAGTAGTATTTTTTTACTCTCAATCTGTCTACCAGGAATGAGGATTAACAATATGGTTTCCCGAAATAAATCAAGTAGTTTAGGACATTGTTTGTGCGAGCTCATTTTGGGGTTTTATTTGGCAGAAGCCATGCATAAGATTTTGTCAGGACAACAATAGTAGTAATAGTAATAGTAATCATTTTCCTTAGAACTCAGAATTAATCAAGAAAATTTGCTTGGAGCATTTTGTGGGATTGGCCAAAGCAATTATGAGAAAGTTGACCTTTATTGTTACTAATTTGTTTCCCATATCCATCATCTCCTTCACATAACTAAATTTCACATAGACTTGGCTCTTTTATTTTCTTTTCATTTTCCATTCATGATCTTTAGATGTTTAGGATTCTAAAAGAGGACTATGTATTTTCTTTGAAAGAATTAGAGCAAACTGATAAACCCAGTAAGCCCTATTCCTTGTTTAGTATTTCTCTGCTTAGGTGGAATTTTTTTGTTCATGGTCCAGGCATTAATGCTTTCCATCCATTTCTTTCTTCATTTATTTGCTCGTCTTAGGAGTTAGGAGCAAGAACAACTAGGGAAAGTGTTCTCTGCTTTTTGGGGTTTTATTATACTTCATAATTTATTTAATTCGAAGCTCAGTAGTGAGTCCAAATAAATTATAACTAGTAAAAAGTAGGTAGAAAAAAGGCAAAAAAAAAAAAAAAAAACCCCACACGTGGCTTTATTCTCTACTCTCAAGAACAGAAAATGAAGCTTAAATTTGTTGCAGCATTAGTACGGAGTCATTCTCATCCATCACCATTCACCAGACACCACTGACAGCTGTTTTAAACGACCTGCCAACCTGTTTTGTTACAAGAATTATTACTCAAAGCAGCCGTCTACAATCATATAATTCACAGTCTGTCTGTAATTATTTAATCTAATTACTAAAACATTTTTGCTTACCGTTATCGTTGACATTTGCATCAATATCTTTCATTTTCTTTCAATGATTAATAAGATAAATCGTACTATGCAGAATTATGGAGTGACTCTGTATATGTATCGAACACCATACTTGGTGGATATAGTTAGAGAAAATGTTGGTGCAGTGCTTAATCTAGGCTCCATCAATGGTGGCAATGCATGGAAAGGGATGGACGTGCTGATTTTCAACAGTTGGCATTGGTGGACCCACAAAGGAAAATCTCAAGCGTAGGACTTTTCATCTTTATTCGTTTATTTTTCTTCAAATCATAAGGGAAATCAACCTGATTATTATAGTTATAATAATAATAATAAATCTTATTTTACATATGGTAGATGGGATTATATTAGAGATGGGTCTGCATTATACAAAGATATGAACCGTTTTCAGGCGTACAACAAAGGGCTAACAACCTGGGCTAACTGGGTTGACAGCAATGTTGATACCACCAAGACTAAAGTCTTCTTCCAGGGCGTATCTCCCACCCACTACGAGTGAGTAAAAAAGAACCTTGCTCTTCAAAAAAATGCTAGAAGTTAACCAAGATACAGCTAATGTCAATTACCTTTTTTCCTCTTTAATCAAACCAGGGGCAGGGAGTGGAACCAACCAAAAAAAAGCTGTTATGGTGAACTACAGCCACTGTCTGGCTCTACATACCCGGCAGGTGCTCCTCCAGCTGCTGCTATTGTGAAAAAAGTTTTAAGGATGATGAAGAAACCAGTTTATTTGCTTGATATTACAACGCTCTCACAATTGAGAAAAGATGCCCATCCCTCGACCTATAGTGGTGAGCATTCGGGCAATGACTGCAGCCACTGGTGTCTTCCTGGCTTGCCTGATTCATGGAACCAGCTTTTATATGCAGCTCTCGTTATGTGAAGGTCCACATTGGGCAACAAAGAATTTATCTCTTTTCTTCTTCATACAATTGTACATTCAGGACGGTACTGAAAGTTCTCATCTACTTTTGGTAGCTGTAACGATGGAGCAAAGATCGGTAGGTGATAATGAGGATTGAGGGGGCAAAGATCAACTGTAAAGTGATTGATTTTTTAAACCAAAAATAATTGCTTCAAGGTGGAAAAAAAAATCTAAACAGATGTTAATCTTCGAAGAATCTTGACCCTTGTCCAACAATCACATCAAATTTCCATATCAAGGTTTGGAAAAATAAAGTTAGTTTTCCACCATGCTCTGTATCTCCTTACCTCTATAAGCTATGTTTCCAACTCTCCATCACCTACGACCAATAGTCTCACAATTAAAGGGCAGTTGAATTATTAATTAGGAAAACAACAATCTTTAGCAAATAAAGACTCAAAGGACATGTTGAGCGGTAAATTATTATTGTCTGAAAGAGTTTGTACAACAAGAAGATTACTTGTTTTTCTGGCAAAATTAGGGTGTTTCAAAAATCACCATGTTCCGGCTTAGGCAGCAGATTACAAAGACAGCAGTTTTACAAATAATATCTCACAAAAGAATCCCAACTTTCACGTTCTGCATACTCAAGGCTGAAGTCCACCTGCTGCTATGATCCGAGGACTCCTGCAACATATAACAATTAAGACCATTCAAATCAACATATACCAACTTGTCTAAGGTCCAACTCTAATTCAATAAAATGCAAGAGTTTTCTTTGATATGACTGGGCGAGAGATTCTGTCTCCCGAATGACCAAATTAGTCACATTTCAAGCAAAGGGATACAATGAACAAGAACACAAACTAAAATTTTCTGTTAATAACAAATAGACAAGACAACACGTGAAGCAAATCAAATAGACTACAGTCTATTACTTTAATAAAGCCCTTGACAGAAAAATGGTATCTGCTAAATCTGCATCATCAAAAGTACTGTTCATCTGGCATGAATTAACAACAGCAGATTTTGCATCATAACTGGCAATTAGAAGCAAGACTGAAAACTAACCTTAAAAGAAACTGTCAAGAAGGCATATGGGATACAACTAGTAGCCAACATAAACTGCAGCATTGACTATGTAACAATCATCATTCTTATCTCCCATTTCTTCTACATGCACACCACTTGAGCATATTAGTCCTCCATCCACAACTTCAACGTCCAAAATTTTTCCACTGCAATCAATGGGAAAAACAAAAACAAACAAACAAGAGAAGTTAAGAGTTTTGTAAATATTAATGCACACAAAAATATCTAGAAATGTATGGTTTCTATATCAATCCGTCACAGGATAGAAACATCTAGCAAAAAGCACTAGGAGTCTGTAATTAGTTTGTTTCACGTAGACACTCATTTGAACTCCCTTCATTTGCCAAATGTTAAATTTCAAACTCAATGAGATGAAGTAATGTAACAAGTAATAAGATACTCAATAACTACTAAAATTGGAGACAAGCATTATGATGGACAAATAGAATAACTGCTTATTGAGAAAAGAAGTATAATTTCATGTTTGTGATGGAGGGACAAGATGGATAGAAGAAAGGCATGTTTAAATAATGGTAGTAATTAGAAGTTGAGAAAGGGTTTGGTCACAGGTTTAATTTCAGAGAGTAAGTGATACAATTTAGTCACTGAGCTCATGGGAAAACAAGGGCTGTTAACTGTATAACTTCATGCTTGCAATATATTGGTCACTATATGTTAAATGCTATTAAAAAAATTAACACCCATGCTAGGGTTAACAAGAATATATACTTAAACCAGTACAGCAGCAATTTCTGAAGGCGAACCATGATGTTAGAATTTACAAAGATGTTTTTCTGCATATCTTTTGTTTAAACAAAGAAAATAGATCACGGTTACAAGAACAAAGGCGCCAACTTCCAGAGGTGTGGATACTCACTAAGGAAAAACAGACTTCACCCTCTCAATATCCAACGACTGCTGGAGAGAATTAGGAACGCCTAACTTGATGATTAGTTTCATCTGGTCAAATGAGACTCCAGGTATGGATCCTGCGCCAAGTTTGTCTTATTATATCTAATGAAACAGCATTCATAAGAGTTCTTAAATCCAGCACGATTCCCAGAACAATTTATATCATACAAGTTACAAACATGGCGAAGATCTTTATCAATAAGCTGAATTTAACAATTAGAATTTTTTTAAAAAATTTTTTTTGGCCATTGTTGGTCTCATGAATTTAAAGAACAATGAAGAGAAACAACATAACATCCAAAATCTTTCTGATCCTACTGCAAAAAGTTGAACAGCAAATGCATATACAGCAAATACTTGCCTCTCCTGAATGCAGGGATTGAATTAGAAGAAATAGCATCCCTGCATGCCCTCATTGCTGCTGATGTAATATCTTGCCTGATTCCAAGCAACAATTCAGAAAACCAACACAAACAAAACTCTTTTTATCGGATTAAACCAAACAAGCAAAAAACAAAAAAAAAAGGCTTTTTCTTTTATACTAAAGAGAACCTAGAAGAGCGAAGAAGACGAACCCATGTTGATCATAACCAACACCCATCTCCACAAACAGGAGTTTCATGAGTGGGTTTGAGGTGTTGCCGGTAGTGCTTGTGCCTACACTTTGATCTGTTTCCATGGCTGCAGTAGCGCCGATTGGGCGTTGAAACCTAGGACGAGGAGGATGCCGGATGATAGAGGAGAAAAGTGGTGGCTTTGATGAAAGTGAAGGGTATGTTTTGGGAGTGGAGAGAGATTCAGTGGAAGAAAAAAATGGCGACTTTGAAACCAAACAGACACATATACTCATCTCCTCTCTGCCTCTGCCCCAACAAAACTAGGAAATTTGAGTAAATTCATCAAAATTTCCATTTAAATTTACTTCTTTTAGTTATTAAACTTATTTTATCAATATAAAATTAAAAAAAATTGTGGGCAAATGAATATTGTTTTGAAAAATAATTACTCCAACAGTACATAGAGGGGTCAGGCCCATTTCTTGTCAGGCTTTATCCGATACACTCAAATCAAGCTCAAGCCTGTAATAATCGTGAAAATCTTAAGGATGTATGGTTTTAAGACCAACCCATTGATCGATCATCTCACATTCTCAAATCGAAAGCCCTTTTTCCTGACACCTAACCATTGATATAACAGCATTTATATTTCTTTCTTGTGGACTATATATGAAGCAGATGTTTATCCAACAAGAAATTTCGACGTTTAGGCAAAATTCAAAAGAACAGAAAACTGGGAAAGGGTGAGAAATCAAATCTCATTTCAGTTGGCTTCAATATTTATATAAAAACGCTAGCCATCAAAGCAGTTTTTACACACCATTATTCCTGGTTGGCTTAGGCAAGGTGCCTAAATCCCAAAACCAAGATCCTACAATTATGGAGGATACCAGTAAAATGCCAATGTACAGCAAGTCCTCGATGCATTAGTTAGTTAGTCAGTGTTCTTTTTTCTTACCTGACTCAAGCTACAATACAACCACCAGGCGCATGGAGATTAAGAAAACACAAGTACAACAGCTGGGTTTAGATAACACAATAAAATTCTCTATATCCGACAAAGATATTATTAAAGCTGGTTTAGGTGATGATGCTGTAATTCCAGTTTGAATCGGGCGTCTGAGTAAGAGCTGGCAGCATCGCAGTTTAGCTATAGAGTGAGATGAGGAACAGGAGAAAGTTTTAATGGTAACAGTCCCATTTCACATCAGTTATGCATTGGAATAAATCGAATATTGTGTAGATGGATTAATAGCAGCAGGTTGTGAATTCACAAACATGATGTTTCTATCTTTACAACTAAAATTGAAGCTAAGTTAATTTGCTAAGGAGATTGGCAAGGTGTAGAACTGCAAATAAATTGTTGTTGTTGGTTTTGGCACTGTGCATGGCTCGATCTGGCTTTGTCTCTCAGCTGTTGGAAAGCCCTCATCATTCCAACATCAAATCCTCCAGCAAACTGTCAATAAAAACAAATGTGTTACCTTCTCAAAGCAGATCAAGCAAAACTATAGTCTTGTCCAACTGACACAACAAATTAATGAGAATGTTAACATGAACAATGAAATTGAACCTGTTTCTTTCTTTTTGTTTTTCTTTTTGGTTGATGCATTTTATTGAGAAAAATAAATAAACTTTTATTGATAAAAAAAATATTATGTTTAGTCGAAAACATAAATACTAATATTTTCTTATTAGTTTAATGGTATGTTATCTGATGGATGGGTTGATATTGGGTAAACATTATATGGTAAAAAAAAAGTTGTACCACAGAAAGATTATTATTTGGGAAATTAAGATATAATATTAGTTATTATCACTACTATTTTTAAATTCAATCAATTTCATCCTATTTTGGAGCTAGTTGAAGGCATCAAGCTCGAGAGTTTGAAAGCCTGGGTTCCCGGTTCAACAAAGAAAAAAGTTCATTTCGATCCATTAACATTGGTGTGGGCCCATTTAAGAATAAAAAAGGATAAATTACAAATCTAATTTCAAATTATTCTTTCTTTTACTCAGTTTTGAGAAATTACAATTTGATCTCTAACATTTATGGTATTACTTTTTAGTCATTCAATTGTTAGTATCTAACAATATCTTGACGTTGCCTAGATGCCGCATGGCATTACAATGTCATCTCCCATGTCACATGATATTATAATGTCATATAATATACCATATAATATTATTAACATGATATTATAAATTTTTTTAAAGATAATTTTGGAAATTAAAAATAAAGCTAAGTTATTATATTTTTTGCTACTTACCTTTTCAAAAATTTTTATTTTAATCACTTAATTTTGAAATTTTCATAATTTGATCACTAACGTATTTGTTTGTGTAATTTATTACTATTTTTATCTTCATATCTTCATTATCAACGGTTCAATATTGTCATGGATTTCTAATGACTTCATCACCAACATTTGTAAAATTTAATATAATAAATTGTTTTATTATATAAATTGCTTATATTGAATTAAATATATTAAGATAATAGTTATATAAGTTTTCAAATTTTATAAAAAAATTAAAAATAAGCATTTTAATATTTTTATAGCATGGAATTAAATTATTAACTTTTATTTAAGGGTTAATGTCATTGATAATCCCTCAATTATAATGAAACGTTTAATATGATATTTAAATTTTAAAATTTTTAATGTGATACTTAAATTATAAATATGTTAAGTGATAATTATCTTTAACATCATTAGCTTCAAATGATTACATATGACAGACAAACAATGTTTTAACGATTACATTAATTAATAGATTTATAATTCATGTAAAATTTTAAAATTTTAAGTACCACATTGAATATTTCAGTATAATTTAAAGATCAGTAATGATATTATCTATTTATTTTATTGTAATTATACTATTTAAATTTTAAAAAAACTGATGAATATTATTCAATTTATAAAATTACTAAATAGTTAACAAATTTATAATTTATGTAAAATTTTAAAATTTTAAGTACTATATTAAATATTTCAATATAATTTAAAGATCAGTAATGATATTATCTATTTATTTTATTGTAATTATACTATTTAAATTTTAAAAATTGTTGAATATTATTCAATTTATAAAATTACTAAATAGTATTACTTCAAGTCTTTGTCATTTAGCTTATCTAAATAAATTCAAGTATTACTTATTCATATTGTTAAGATTCTAATTACAATGAAAGTTCATATATTTTATTTCATGCAATAAAATATTAAAGAAAATATAAATAACAAAAATAATAAAATAATTTATTATATCAAATTTCATAAACCTTTGGCAATTAAATCGCTATAAAGCTATGTTGACAGCGATATCCAAGTATTAATAATTTTTATAAACATTAATGATCAAATTATAAAATTTTTAAAATTAAATTATCAAAAAATAAAATATCTAAATTTTAGTTATCAAAAGTGTAACTTACTTTTAATTATAGTTTACAAATTTTATTTTTTAAAATTTATAATGTTATTTTAACAATGACTCGTGGCATGTTAGATGGCATGAGGAACCGACATGATACCTTACATATAATATAGTATTATTACGTTAGCATGCCATTAATCGAACGATTAAGTTAAAAAAAAAAGATATTATATTATATACGGTTTGTAATTTTTCAAAATTTGATGCCCGAAATGAAAAAAAAAATTTGAACAAAGTTCGTTCGTTGACTAAATACCAGTTAAAAAAAAAATAGTGGGCCTGCAGGAAATCGGAATCGGCGGACCATTCGTTAATTTAAGAAGCGGGTGAAATTAGGCTAAAGGCCGGTGAATTGTCAAAGACGAAAGACCCCTGCACGCGGGTCCAGGTAACGGTCGTATTGTCTTGTTATTTTTCTTTACTAAAGCTATTCAATAGGCCGATGATATTTTTCTATAAGATTTCAAGTTCAAATTTCATCCGAGGTCTTTTCGTTGGTTGTTTATTGTTGTTGTTCATGAAATATTTAAGGGGATTTTGATAGCGTTTTTAATTTACATCCATAACATACAAATTGTAGTACGTTCATCTCAAGTAAATGGTGTTGTCTCAAACAAATCTACTTAAAATCTGGAAATTTATCTCGAGAACACGTTATTTCTATGTGATTATTGCATATTTTTTCGTGTAAGTCATTGAATTACACACATTTTGCCTCGGCAACTGTGTTTAATATATATATATATTTGTATTTATATTAACTTGTGATTAAAGTTTGAGGATATCATTTGAGTTTTGACATCAACCAGAAAACGATTATAATAATTTCTAAAAACCAGTTACTAACGTCAACTCTTTCTGTTCTTCATTATTAATTGAGTTTTTTTTTTGTTTTCTTTCTTCACTTGAATTCTAGTAAGTTAATATTAGAAAGAGTATCATAATTTGAAAAAAAAAAAAAGAATCGCAGTCTTTGTCCTTCACCTAAGATTGGAAGAATCAAGAATGTACTTTAAATTTTTATTGCAGAGAAGGATAAATTAAACATGTTCCTAAGTTGGCCTGGTGCATGCGTATATGTCACTACTCACTGGACTTATGAAAGCTTGACTCGTTCATGCATTTGGGCTGATGGCACAAAGGGTTTATATTGTAGACTTGGGCAAAGTTATCGGACGTTATCAAGATCGCCATAAAAAAACAGTTGATATGAAGCCAATCATGACAAGCATGGTTGAGTGTTTGGGGCGTGACAGAGATTTTGAAAGTCATATTTTCTAGAAGTTAATTTGTTTTATGCTTTTAGTTTAGTTCCTCCCATGTTTCTCTAAGTTAGGGCTGACGCACTATATTTTACTTTCTCTCTACTCCAAGTTTCTTTCAAAGTAATAAATCGACTTAAAAGTCATTAGTTGGATTGCTACGCTACCTGGTATTCACTTTATCCTGGAATTTGAAACCAATCTGCGGCACAATTACATCATCTATGTTATTTTTCAAACTTATTATAAGCAGGTGCATCAACATATAGGTGTTTTTTGGCCGGTAGGTGCATCATATTAACTTCGACAAATTACAGAGAAAATAATCATACAGAAATAACTTCGTCAAATATGGAATATAAATCAGGACCAAACGTATCAGAGTCATTGGACTAGGTCTCCAACATATCAACATCAAGTGAACTTCACAAGTTACTTAACTTACCGTCAAACATGTTCTGACTTTTGGCGATTGCTGCTTTATCTTTTAGCAGCTTAGCTATTCAAATTATAGCTAAAAAATAGTTGGTTCAGATATATTATGGCGCCTGAAAGGACTTATATATTATCATTCTCAGTCGACTAGGTCATACCTCCAAGCTTTGATTTCTCTAGCAAGTTAAGTATTCCGTAGGGTGAAGCAGGGATATGGAATTGCGTTAGTTGCAC